CTAGCGCTGACAGAGCTCTGATACTTTAATTTAAAGGTATTTGTATTTTTTTACACCGACTTTCGCAATCAGTTTTACCTATTTCTTGTGTTATTATTAAATCTTACAAAATTGTAATTAATAAAAATTATGTACTTAATTAAATGGAATTACATGTTTTTGTTAGAGAGCGCCGGCAGAGCAGTATTCTTTTGCAATGCTTAACTAGTTGCAACTGGCTTCAACTATTTCTGGCAGTGCACAGGGTGCTAGTGGACGACCGTCATTAATCTTAGTGCCACTCCAATTGTCGTTGTGGTGTCCAGCCACAGGTGCAGCGTTGGTTTTCCGGCGCATGGACAACGAATTCGAGAATGTGGAAATGGCAGCGGAACTACGCAGGAATCCCTGGCCAGTCAAAGGACCTTTTTAAATTGGTCGGATGCAATTAAGCCGCTGTTCCGCTGGCCAATAGGCAGTAGATAGATCTCGACTTTCGGCAGCTGAATGAGCCCGTGAATTACATTTCGGCATCTCAGAATCGATGGGTGCAACAAGCACTGACTAAAAATTGCTTTCCCAGCTGTTGCAGTCGCCCCTCCGAGTTGTGTGACGCAAATCCTTTGACGACATGCCCAGCATGCCACTCGATCCAGGACATTGGTGCGACGAAAAGTAGGTGGGTTCGGGGGTAGAACTTTCATAGAAAGTTGTTACTGCGAGGCTGTGCAAACAGAATGCAATTGGATGGCAGGACTAGCGTGTACGACCTCTATTGCTCAGACGAAAACACCCACACGCCCACACTATAAACACACTTATAAAAGTAACAAAATGAAGGAAGTAAAGCCAGCCAACGCATTTCCTTTTCGAAACTTTGCAGACTTTGCCCCAAACAATATATCTGCTGCGGTGCTGCCGGCAGGATTTATATACATATATTCTTGCGTTGCCTTTGGCTTAGTGGAAATTGCTGCAATAAAATAGTCCTTCCTCTAATTCCACTTAACAATGATGTGGGCCAGCATGGACCAGTTTTGACTACACTTGGCCCGAGTTGAGTGCTTGGAAGCCATCCATAAGCAGTTTGTTATCCAGGTAGAAAAGGCTATAAAATGAATTCGTATTGCTCTTGTGTCGGCTTTGAATCTCTTTAAGTTGTATAAGCCTCAAGCCATTGCCACAGTACTTTTCGCTTTTATTGCGGTAGAAGGAGAGTTGTCTTAAACAAGAAATGACAAGTAATCCATTAGCCTTTCCCAAATATTGTCAGGATTTGAATTAACAATTGTTGTCAAAAGTTGTGCGCGTAGGCAAAACCAAATAGGTCTATTAAAAGTCACGAATTAAATGGGCTTCAGCAATCCCTTTATTGTAAGTTTTCTCCAGACGTATTTTGATTTAAGAACTTCCAGTTTACTAAATGCGATTGAATTTTACCTGGCATGCTTCAGCGGGAAAAATGCTAGCCGACAAAACTTGCATTGTGTTGTAAGTCCTTTACCTTCAACTGAAAAGCTCACAATAATCTCTTTCGCAAAGTGTGGAAGCTGTAAAACTATCAATATGCGCATACTTGCTGTTTACATCCCGTTGGAACGTGTTGGAAAATCGCACTTGATTGCCGAGAACCTCGTGTTCCCATTGTTTGGCCAAAAACCTCCTTGCAGACAGCGAAGGCTAGCTGCGGGCTCTTCTTTACAGCAGCACACATGGCGTATACGTAATGCATTCGGTGAACTGAACTTACAGTTTACTATATGCAAACGCATGGGCGCACACTGTTGTCCCTGTGCTTGGAAAGCAAACATAAAAATGAAATTCAGAACAGCCGAGGGTTAAAAATTGTGGAACGTGCGAAAAAAGTGCAAAGCAATGATATAGAACTTGACACACTCACACATACAGAGTCACCACTTCCGCTGACAGGAAATGAAAGTCTCCGTGCGTGTGAACACATTGTTTGTTTGTGTAGAGGGGCAGCGGCTTTTGTGTGAGTGCCAATGTGCGTCTATGTAACTTACGTGCCTTGGCAAATGGTTTATGAAGTGGGTGACTTGGGCTGGAGCTTGATTCGTTTTTTTACTCATCCCATCTGTTGTTTTTTCGGCCTGATGTGGCTTATGGGGACTTTCTGTTTAGTCAAGCGTAAGGTATGAGCAAATTCCAAAAACGAAAAAAGGGTTAGAAAGGATACGCTGCTGCCAGAGCAAACTATGTTAAAGTCATCTGTGGAATAGAATCGCTGAGGTTGCTGGCTGTACACAGTGGCAAAAACAATGCCCCAAAAGTCTCCAATTATGGGCAGATATTAATGACATTTGCCAGCCGTGGCATAATTGGGCAACAGCGATAATGACACTTCCCCGGCATTAATCTCCCGTGCCACAGATCCTGGCGAGTGTGGTTGCCCCGACCAATTAGTCTGTTTGATGTGCCACCACATCCCAGACACTACTCGCTCATTCATGGCTGTCTCGATTTCCATTTGGGCCTAACTACTTTTCCCCAGCAGCCCAGTTAGTCGGGGACGCCAGCGCAAAATACTGCAGAAAAATATTTGTTAGCAATCTACAACAAAAAAGCAAAAAAAATTCGTTGACAAAACTAGTTTTAAAATAATTATATGATATATATTTACATGTATGATTTGTATACTATAATTTGAATACTTTTCAACAATTTTAAAAGCCATTAACGAGCCGGATCAGATAACGACCGTCGTATATAAAAAGCTGCGATAGACAGGATAATGTGCACGAAATAATACCAATACTCATTCAAACGGATTTATTTCTGGGTGGCATGCAATATTCTGCAATCCCTTGAAAGCATATAAATGTAATATGTAATTTATTATTTTAATTCAATTATTATTAAAACCTTTGAATTGAGCTTTAAGTTAAAATATGTATGTAATTTATTTTTGTAAGTCAAATATTATTAAAGCCATTGAATTGAGCTTTAAGTTAAAATGTTAAGTTCTAGTCTTAATGTAATATGTAATATACATATTTCCCTTAAAGTGACCTTAATTTCTTTCAATGTTGGCCTGTTTTGCTGCTTGTGAGCCTAATTAATATCTGTTTGGTAATGGCCATCCCATCGAATTCTAAAGGCAAACAGCTGTCAATAAAAGGTCTCATAAGCACATGTACCACACGTATATATATAAAATGTATTTGTAAGCCGACGAAAAAAAAACTCAATCAATTAAGATAATTGATTTTCCTATGTGAGAATTGCAAAAAATAAACTTATTGATTTCTTTTGGCTGAATTTTTTGAGTGCCACCCACTGAAGGTCAATTACCTTCTATTAATTTGCCAATATTCCAAATGAGATGGAAAAATGAAGCACAGCACTGTTCACAGTCCAGACACTCGTCCTCGGTATTCTTCCAGGATATTTCATTAAATTAGTCGCTGTTGCTTGGGTAAAATCTTTGATGCCAGACTGCTTCAAAGCGAAAATCATTATAGCCTGCTCTGCTTAGCTGGAAAATTAGTGCCGGGCAACAAAGCTTCAATTCCCTGGCTGTCCGACTGTCTATTTTATCTGGTAATTACTGGACAATGGGAGGAAGCAAGGAAGAACACCGCAAAAGGTCTTTATGTAATTACATTCGCGGGAAGTCGAATCGAGGGGGGAATCAGTTAAACTTTCCACTCATTAAGTGACAGCAATAGAGCGTTAAAAGATTGCTACCCTTTAATGTGGTCCATTGTCCATTTAAGTCTTAAACACACAATAAAACAATTAGAGAAGGGTTTTCGCAAACTAGAATTTATATGCAGATGAATGAACTTGGTTCAATTTCGGTCGGGTGTCGTATAAACACCAAACAAGGGTGAAGCAAATTAACAAATGCAAAAGTGAAGTAGTTGTTAGGCTTTTAACAAAAATATATTACAAGTTTTAATTAACATAGTAAAACCCTTTGCTTAAAACAAAACCTGTTCAGAGATATTCAATACAATGTGCCTGTAAAGTATTATAAATTAAAACTAAACTAAAAACCCCTAAAATTTAAAGAAAATATAAGGTTTAAATGAATATGCTTATAAATGAACGCGTTGGTGTTCCCTTGTTGAACTTTGCCTCCGAGATTTCCCTGGGGTGAAGTTCTCCAAACAAGATGTCTCTAATGGCCAACACGACAGCCTAAAGCGAGCCAAGTTGGCGGTGGTCATTCTCCGTCGTTTGGCCAATCGACGATGCCACAAGACCATCAATCAAACGCATCCGGATGACATATTCCTGTGAACGGGTCAGATGTGCCGAGTGTGTGTGTTTCTGCAAATTATGCACGAAAGCCGCAGGACAACGGAGGACATTCCCAGAAGGACAGTTTATTTGCCTGCCATTGTTGGCCAACACAATCACAATTTAAACACGCACACAAATACACACAACCATGCAAGCGCAAATGCCACATAACCGGAAATACAACGTCGGACATTTTGTAGGTGAACAGTGAGCAGTCAACCCTTACCGATAGACATCAGAAATGCAGATAGATAGTGGTAGAACTCAATTGTCATGCTAATCTCGACCATCGGATAAAATCCGTGCTGGGAATTTAATTGTTTTGCTGAGTGATTGTTGAAGCCAGAATGGGCGAGTAAATTGAGATTTGATGACTCGACCAAAAAAGCAAAGAAAGGTCACAGGGTAATCAAGTAATCACAATTGGGCTCAAAAACAATTCCTAAGCTGTGCCCACACATCTAAAAATTGTCGTTTCCGACATACTTATTTTCTTGTTAAAAATTCTGTTATTATTGACATGGAAACCAAACTCGGAAAGCAAAAACCTTGACTGCTGCTTTAAAATTGCTTAGCCTGGCTAAGCAATTCCTCATCCCACCAATCAACGATCGAAATGTGGATAACATGGCAAAGGAAAATTTTACGCTTGACATTATAATCGAAGTCATTAATTTGCCAACTTGGCTGGTGGCTGCAAAGTTTCCCCAAAAATGATGGCCAAGTTGGCCGTGGCAACGAACAAGACCAGATACCAGTATACGTTGTATGTATTTGCCCGAGATATGTGAACCAAGGAATGTACTCCGCTACACTCTGCCACTCAGACTTCACAGAAAAGTTTTCCAATTGCTCGAGCCTTAATTTTTGGAGCACAAAGTAACCTATTCGAGGGCGTCGATTCCTGCTCCTCCCTCCTCGTCCATGATGACGGAGGAACTGCGCTCTGCCGACTCGTAGGCGTGCATTTTGATCAGCATCATGGTAAAGATCTCCATGGGCAGCGTGTTCTGCAGCACCTGCAGCAATTTTCCCGGCTGGCTGCAAACGAGGATCGCATTGATCAGGTGGTCCACTCCGCCCTCGATGTCGCCGTTGGTGATCAGGCCCTCGCCCTTGTGGATCTGGGTCATGAAGTACATCTCAATGTCCTTCTCGCTCATATTACCCGCTGCTGAGGCTTTCAAGGATGCAAAGTTCCGCTGATTGCGGCGCTCGTGCAACTTCCTCTTGAACTCCGGATCGCTGCGACGCTTTTTGTCAAAGTACACGCAATAGCCCATGAACAGCAGTCCTGATATTGCCGCCAAAGCCTTGAAAGTGCCCCCGATTCCAATCATTTTCGAATTTTATGCTTCAGCAATTGTGGTTTTTTTGTGTCTGTTAAAATTTCTGATGTTGGCGTCCGGACGAGACTAGTGTGTACAGCCAAGTGTGTTGACGATCAAATGTAGATTGATAGATAACCCCACACTGCCTTGAATGAAGTACGAGTGTTAGTTCAAAAAAGTTAGACGTTACAAGCGATTGACTTACACTGAAAGTCATAATTTTTAATACTATGCGTATTAAATTGCATGATTTAATATTAAAAACTTTAATTAAAGTCGAAAATATTATATTTAAAATAGTCCCTATTTTATTTAAATACATTTATTTTTTTATTTATCTAAATATGGTTTCAATTTAAATTACATTTTTAGATATTAAAATCAATTCCGAAAATAGTCAAATGAAAAATTTATAGAAATTTGAATATTTTGAGTATTTAAATTGAGTACAAAATATTTACCAATGTAGTTTAATTGTGAGCTGGCCGAACTGGCAATATAGGTAAAACATTGTTTCTAATATTCATCACTAGATATATATATATAACGATTTCTATAACGATTTTATCTATATTCAAAAAAATGACTATTTTCCTTTCAAACCAATCCTGAACGTGGGAGAAGAGCATTTTATCCAACTTAGTTCAACCGCAATTGTTTAATATTATTGATTATATAATCGTTTAAGAGAATACAAACACAATTCTGAAAATGAACTTTCTCTTTTGCAGCCTGATACTTGTTTTTCCATATCGTTTTCACCGTCGCAATTCGCAGGTAAACATTTTGTATTCCAAAAATAAATAAATAAAATACCAATACAGCGGAGCAAGAGGAATAAGTAGCGGATGGTCGGACAGAAACATGGCAGTAGCACTGGCAATGACAGTGTCAGTTAAATTTGCTGGATTCCGCTTTAATTTCAGTAATGCAATTGACCTTTTACCTTTTGGCCAGCTCTTTATTAAGGCAATAACTACTAGGCTCTTTGAGTGAAACATGTATGAAAATTGAGAAGCCATTTAATTCGATATAATACTTACCAATCGAGAGACCTAATTTGCCGCCAGACCACTCTTACTTGCTCTGGCAATTTGCGGTGTGACCCCAGCATTAACCTCAGTCTGTTGCCGTGGTAACGACGATTCGTCTGTACAATGTGTGTAGTATACTACAATCCAACATATGTACCATAGATGGTAACAGAATCTTTTCAGCTGACTTTTGGTTTGCCTTTTCATACCTTAAAGGCTTTTTGCGGCTGCCATGACAATGGGAAAGGAGACTGACAAGTGGGGCAACTGCGTAACAAACATCAACTTATTATGCAAATTGTTATTCTACGAATGGAGCTGAAGCGTTTCGAACCCATCAAATCCTATTACCTCAAATAAAAAAAACGCCTTGTGGGCCACTCGCCGTCCATCGATTTCGTTGTGAGTTCTGTGCAACAAGCAATTTAACGCATTAGCGCCACTTGTTCTCCAACTGCCAGACCAGGCAATAAAAATGTAGCGCTTTGTACTTCGGTTTTGGGTCTGGTTTGGATTCTAGTTGGTGGTTTTGGTTTGGGTTTCGGCCACAAGCCCGTTTCATATGGAAAATACGCGAATGTGCTGCACTGAAACTGTTTGTGATTCAATTTGATAGTTAAATGATTCCCAAGTGGATTTTGATGGGGTTAGGTTCCGTTTTCTGTTTCGGTTACGGTTTCGCCTTGCATTTCATTCAATTACATTCAGTAATCGTTTACCATTATGCGAGTATCTGCTCTTTTTGAAGCTGCCGTCTGTTTGCTTCAAAACGAAATCCTTTAAAATTGAACTATTGAAAAGGAGCTGAAGAAGTGAAAGAGATATTGATATGATTTGAGAGCTTTTGAAAGGATTCGCTTTTTTGGCGAATTTGCATTAAAGGACCTCTCACCCATCGCCACCCAGAATTTGGCGAGGCTAAGTAATAAGTACACCCACATTAGTATGAATTCGTGCATGGCGAACCAACCATTGGTTGAATGGAATCGGACTCTCAGCTTTGCATAAATAATGCGACTGCGAGCATAATGGAATCTAAATTCCCTTTTAGGACTCTTCTAATCATATTACCAGCACATTTTCGCAGGCGAATTAGTATTTGTTCAAGCAAATTAATCCCAAATTAATGTTAATTTTCAGTTTAAATATTTGACTAAGCCCTTGAGGTAAATTTAAATACCTTGAGGTCATAAATACAGCTGCTGCTTCCAATTACAAGGTTTTTGATTACTTACCACTACTGTAAGGCAAAAGTGCCAGATGAAGTGTCGCCTGGTTAGCTTTATTCAAATCAATTACATTTTGATTTTGCAATTTCACAAAAGATTTTCCACATTTATTTACAGATGTCATAGACACAAACCAAAACCAATAACATGAATTGTTCTTCTATTAATAAAGTGAGCTTTAAACAGCTTAGAAAGAGAAATTCCATGATTCGTTTAATTGAATTACTCAAACGAATAGCACAAATATATACGCAGATATATTTATCGGATATACACCGACTGTATTTAAAGACTTGGCTTAGCCTAGATGTTTACAACAGTTAAAACTTACAGCTCTTCGATGGTTAAAGTGTCGATAGATTTCTCTATATATCGTATATACATACAAATTCAATTTATTGGTAAGTTCTTACTTCTTGCTGAAGTATTTTCTTTTGACAACCGGAAATTCGACTTTGCAGTAGGGTGGGTCAAAAGAATAAATGAGGAGAAAAAAAATATTTGCACAAAAATTAGTTTAAAACAAAATTAGCTAACTTAATTTAATTAAAACGTCTATAAAGACAAATAAAGAAAATAATATTTGGATAAAATTAGCAATGAAAACTAAAACCCAAAAATTAGGTTGAAAAATAGTAAGCAATTAATTTTGTAAAAACGATTATGAAGATAACAATCAAATCGCAGTTGACCTTACATTTTTTAATGCATTTCTCAAATGATACTTAATTTAAATTCAATGCGATTGAGCATATTGAATAATATAATAGATTTTTTCAGTGCCCAATATCGACCCACCCTGCTTTGCATGCATGTTTCTTCGTTTTTTAGTAGTGAGTGTGGGTGTATGTACAGGATAGAGCAAGCAATGGCAAATTGCATTTCCCCCGCAGCGAAACGAAGGGCCAGAGCCAGAATTCACAATCCGTTCGAGTGGCAGGACGAAACGGGCCAACATCACAGATGTTTGGGACTGTGCTCCACGGGATTATTGTCCTCGTCGCAGGAGATGTATTTAATTTTCACTCGCTGCCGTTCGCCAACACTGTTGTTGATGGAGAGACAAAGCGGCGAGCTGTTCCCGTCCGCCGGCCGCTCCATGATGCACTCGACGCCCACGCGACTGGCTCCGTCCACCACCTTCAGTGGCTGCGGCGTCCGCGGATCCCGACCAGAGTTGGTGAGCGGCGCCTGCTGGATCTGGGTCTCCATGGTGCTCCGCTTCCACTGGCTTTTGTTCTCCGCTGCGGAATGTTGCGTGGGTAGTGGTTTGTGGTGAGACAAAAGCAACTGGGTCTGGGGCTGGGCCTTGTCGGCCAGGATGGTCTGGATGGTCTGGGTGTTCTGGGTGGTCTGGGTGGTCGGGGGAGAGGAGTTGGGGAGCGAGTGGGCGACGGTGTACCCACCTCTTGTATGCCGGTGCGAGCTGTTCTTGTTGGTCAGCCGGCTCTTCGGCGAGTCGAATCTGTGGCGGGTGAGGCCCACGCAGCAGCAGCAGATGATGCGCTGGAAGTACATCCGGAACCTGGAAGCAAACAGTAGATAATATATATATATATATATTGGAGTTGTCACTCCACTTACCTCTTGTTCATCCAGTAGTAGATGAGCGGATTGACCATGGCATTGGACATGGCCAGCCAGTAGAATCCGAGGTACATGTGCTGCACGTACTTCGTGGATGCCACCTGGTTGTTGTGGTAGGCGTAGATGAAGAACAGGTGGTACGGCAGCCAACATATGGCGAAGATGGACACGATGGCGATGAACATGCGAACCACCTTCCGCTTCGACTTCATCGACTCCATCTGGCGATCCGTGTTCTCGCCGATCGATCGACTGCCCCAAAGGACGCGGCCCATCAGGGAGTAGCAGATGAGCATCACTATCATGGGAATGCCGTAGGTCAGTACCAGGATGATCAGGTTGTACCTAATGAGGGGGGTAAACAATGTATTGAGTTCAATTGTGAATTCATTACTAAGTTTTCCCATTTGTGTGTAAGAAACAACACTAAAAGACCTTTAAAGTGAGAAAACTTTTATAATTTTTAAGTTTTAAATACCTACTTTTAGATTTTTTGATAAGCTAAAAATATATTTAAAACTAAAAAAACCTATCTATGTTTTCTAGTCCTAATGGTAGCTTTTAAGCTGAGAAAATATTTGAAATTTTCTATTTAAAAACCAACCTTATACGGACGATAAAATGAAACTGAGTGTCTTAAAGTAAATATTACAGTCAGTATATTGGCTTTAAAAAGTATAAAACTCATCACTAAACATCTTTGTTTTAGTTAACTATTTTAAAAACATTTGTTCACTACTAAAGGGTCCCATAAACTTACGCATAATCCGCCATCGAAGTGGGATATCTTCCATCAGGCCACATCATGAAACAAACTGTCCGCGACTTTCCATTATAATAGCTGCAAAAGGTCAATTTCAATAGGTTAATATCTGCCCATTAAAGTGCTCATATTTAAGTTCAGGAAACGTATAAATCAAAATTTCAACATTTAATTACGCCCCAGAGTTTCCGCGAACATAAAAAGCTGTCAAGTTTCACGCCTCAGCAGGTACATACTAAGGAAGTGGCAGAAAGGAAGTTACCTTTTATCATCAAATTGAAAACTTAATTTGCCAAATTATGAAGTATTTCATAACTCAGCGTTGCCGAGCACTTAAAAGGGCTGTTGTCCCCGGTTCCCACAAACCCGAACCTGTCTGCTTACCGCCATTTTTCCGTCCATTAATAACACGAAAACTGGTAGACAGGTCATAATTTGACCAACGATGTCGATGGGCGAACCCTGGGACGAACAAGGGATGTATTTCGCGCCAGAATTGATTGATTCATTCCGAAATGGATTGTTGTTATTGAGCTATTTGGTCAGAAATAAGCTTTAAGCCTCGCATAACTTGGTTTGACACGCTCGCCAACAACTTTATTTTGAACAAATTTGCCAAGTAATTAAACAACTTTATGCAGAACGGTACAGAAAGTTGAAGTCTTTCATAATTTAAGAAACATTTGAATAAAGAAAAATAACAAATTCGGAAAGGTAAACGCTTAAATACAAATTTCTAGGTTTTATCCTATTTTATTTTATCGGCTTAAGCCAAAGCTCCTACTCATACTCAATAAAACACTGTAATAGAGTGTGTTATAAAATCTTGGATTAAGCATACCTACCTAGATGAAAACCCCTTTTTGTATAAGATATCCCTGGGCCAATCTGTGCTTTCCTGGTAAATTTTATATTGTTGCAGATTTCTATTTCCTTCGGGGGTTCTTCGAAAATATTCATCCAATTTATACTTTTCCTCGTAGCTCACCCACTCGACCATATATCCCCACTTACACTCCCTTCTAAATGTCCTTGTCAGAATTTGCCATCGTTTTGCTCCGCCCTGGCCATTCTTTATCACAATTTGATATATGAACTTGCCATCTTTATTATACCCGAAGTCTGTTACCCTGGGAAACCTTTTATCCCGACTAGGGCTTTGCCTGCCGAGCGTCTAAATAAAAAATGCTTCAATTCTATTAAACAGGACACCCGCCCGGTCCAGGACGCCAGAAATACACCGTCCCAATGTAACGAATTTGCGTAAAATTCACATGAAGCCGTGGGAGCAGAGGTGACGATGTGATTTAGATGGATGTGGATGCTTATATCAACACCGAAAATGGCCGACAAAAACAAAAAGGAAACATGCAAAAATATGGAAGTATTTTTGGGAAGGTGGAAGGAATTTCATTTTATATTTGTTTGGCCTCTCAAATCGATACAGAAGCCGCGGGAGATGCTCCACTACCACTCCACAGGGAGTCCGGCTTACAAACTTGTTTATGCTTGGCATCTTGTGTTTCACGTTAGGATTAAACAGAAACAAAGGGAACTGCTAGATTGCTGCACCGAAGCTTGAAATACTCTAGAGAAGCCATAGATTTACCGGCGGATTGTTAAGATTTATATCTTTTTGGCTAATGTTAAGGTTCCATCCTCAAGATAAATATAACTTTGGTTTATAGGTGCCATTTATACAGGCGAAATTTTAGCAACAAAGGTCGAACTCTATTATTAATATTAATGTAATGTATTAACCTGTAGAAAAGAACGTTTTATTTCTAATAAAAGAAGCTATCGAAAACCGAAATAATAACAGAATAGAATAAAATACAAACCTAAATTACGCCTTACAAAAATGGCAACATAATGTTTTTGAATGTCATATTTGGACTACTTTGTCGATTTAATTTTGTAAACCAGTGATGTTAGTTAATAGAAAAGGGACGGAATAGAGTTTAATACTCTTTAAATCTATCTTTAATGTTTATAAGTTATTATTATTATTAACCCTTGCCTATTTGTTTTAGATAAAAAGTATTAAAATATTGGGACATTATTTTAAAGCTTTTGGGTATGAAATAATTTCTCAACAAGATGAGTATTAAATTTTTACCACTAAAGTTTCAAAATAATTATAAACTGGTTAAAAAATAAGGGGTAAGACTACAGTCTTAAAATCTTCGGTATAAAAATGAAACTAAAAAATATTATTTAGCATTGATCTATATATGATGTCTGTAGTTTATATTCAAGACACACTTATTGAAACAAAACTTTTAGTTATTTTTGGGTGTAAAAAAAAAATACAAAATTTAAAGATATTCCTGGTTCAAACCTACAAGAAATATTTAATAATTTTCAACTTCTAGGTTTTTTCTTCATACTGTGCCTCTGTTTTGAAGCACAACAAAGAGTAAGACTACCCGCTCAACTTCTGCGGCACTTGCCCACTTACTGTTTGGTCATGATGCTGGAGTAGAGCAGACAGGGCGCCGACAGCACACAGCTGAGTGCCCAGATCAGGACCAGGATGATGCGCACCTTCCGACGCGACGTGCGGCGCTTCAGCGGATGCACAATTGCGATGTATCTGCAGGATGGCAGGAAGCGGATGTGCCGACGCACAGATTAGATGACGCCGAAGGAATTTCGGGGAGTGGGTAGTGGGTGGTGGGTAGTGGGAGTGTGAGAGGAAACTCACCTATCGAAACTGATGGCCACGAGCGTGAAGACCGAGGTGGAGACCGTGACGTTGGCCACGAAATTGTTGATTGTGCAATAAATCGAACCGAATGGCCAATCCGAATTCAGCATGAATATAAAGTTGAAGACGCAGTTCAGCGACGACATCAGCAGGTCGGCGATGCTCAGGTTCAGCAGGAAGTAATTTGTGACCGTTCGCATGCTGCGATGTCCTGCGGAGGCAGATGGCGAAAAGAAAGCACAAAATTAGGGGAAAACACGGAGAAGGACGAGAAAATGGAATGGACGTGATGGCCAAGACAAAAATCGTTACATATTAGGGAGATGGAGTTTGCTGTCTACAGCCAATGTGGTCTATACGTGATGTTCTCACAGTTTAAAGCGGCTTGCCGGCATCGACCATCGACCATCGACGAAGCTTACCTGTTACAATCCAGAGTACAATACCATTGCCGGCAATGGCCACAAACATCATCAGGCCGAAAATGATGGCCCAAATCGTTTTCTGCTCCCATGGCAACTCGTACGGTCGTGTCGGCGATGGAAACAGGCACTCGGTTAGAAAGTCTCTGTGGGCGAATCCAGAACAGACACAATGTTTATTGCAAAATGTTCTTAATTGTATGTAAGTAAGTAAGGAGCGGCTGGTGAAAACAAATTTAGAGGAAACAAATGTAAGGAACGTAAAGTATTTTAAATATGTATTTCACCTTTCCAATATTTTTTTAATAAACTCTATAAAATGTCTAACATCCAATATTATTCAAGAAACATATCTTACGCATGATTCCAAGGCAGGCAAGCTGAAACGCATACATTTCTAAATGTTTAGATAACTTTTTTTTGCAGAGCAATGCTCGAAACAATTTATACAAATGTATAGCAGTCATAAAACTGGTTAAAAGGTTATTTAAACACTAAGACTCTTCGGCTTTGCCACACAAACACTTAAATTAAACGCATATTTCACAGAGAGAATCTCTTTGTAGAATAACTGACTTTAAGCCAACTTTTTTTCGGCCACCCTTCAGGGCAAACAATATTTGGCAAATTCAATCACAGAATGGCTGAAAGTTTGCGATTTGACAAACCTTTTCAGAGCTGCGTGTGCGTCTGTCTATGCCGAAGCAATAACAATAGGGAATCAATGAAGCACAAGCTGCTGGGCGAAAAGTCCTTAAAGGAAACTTGCCACAAAAGAAGTGTCCTTTTCGACATTGAAGCAGCAGGAGAACTAGCAGAAATCCTGCGGTAATCGCATTCGAATGACATCCGTTGGCCAGCGAAAACGGTAAGGAGGATCGGAATGCTTGTTCTGTGAAACTGGGGAGCCGATTATCGTTTCAGCCATTATGCTTCTGGATGCGAATGAACATGTCACTAATTATTACGAACGCTGTCATTGTCTTTGGAACCTAGTTGGTGGGCTTCCTTTTGATTAGCTTGTGGTTGCATGAATGGTAAATACCATTAATTAGAGGAACGTTGTTCGGTGATTGCCATGAACTAATCCGCTGACTGCTCCCGATTCCCATTGTCAGTCGGTTCTCTTTGGTCTGAGTGCCACAGGGCGTATGAGCAATATCAATATCGTCTGGTTTTCTATTTGCGACGGCCTGTTCAAAATGCAGCAGACACAATTCCAATGAAAATTCAATAAACGAATTGTTCACATTCATCCATTTTCATTCCGATTGCCAGTTGCCTCTCAGGCATCAAATTTCCCACTTTCCTTTTATGTATCTGTAAGCATGATTGATGCCCTGATTGATTGGTATTGTTTGGGTCACAAAATTTTCGACTAGCCGACAATCCACATTACATTGAAATTAATTGGGTTCTGTGGTCGCAATTAAATCCCCACAAGACCGATAGGATTAAATTATTATAAATTGAAATTGTTGCATGTATTCAGGCTTCTTGTTTTACACATTTCACTTTGGAGTGTTGACAAATGAAATATTGGTTTGTTGCAATTTACCATGTTGCCACATAACTCTGAGTTCATATCAATAAAATAGAAACAAAATTCTTGTCGGTAAACTTTTTAATTGTTTTAACCAATTGAGTTATGCATATGTTTCTGATTTGAAGAAAAACCAACACAGTTTTATTTAACCACGGAGAGAGTTTTTTTGCAGATCGCATTTACTTGAAAATAATAATAAAGAAATTGTTAGAATGATATTTATTCTTCACGCCAAAGCCACAGAATATATTAGTTCTGATAAATCAAATTAATATATAGTTTAAATATAAATATTAAAATCAGCTTATTTGTTTTTTTTTTCAAGGGGTTATTACACACTGTGTATATCAAACATTTTAGAGTGTGCCCCTATAATTATAGGCATATCACATTTCCAGCCAAGCTACTGCCCATAAATGCGCTTACATTTAGCAACAATTCGTTTCTGTGTTTTGCTGACGGCTCGATATATATCACATTACATCCCATTTATTTATTTGCGATTGGTTTATCGATTTAATTAGACATTTAGCGCTGTGCAGAAACAAACAAGAACCTCATTAATTACATAGACATTAGCGCTGACTAACAATGGTTTATAATCAGTATTAGGCATATGCCATGTAATGCCCAAATATAAACCATGTTTTTGATAAGCGGGCCTAAATAGGTTTACGTAAAATATGTGCTAATTTGACTGCCATTGCCATATCAGTTATTATTAATATGCACGAATTTAAATGGACTGTAATTAGCATTTTCATTTCATTGACGGAAATTTATTCACGCATTTTAATTGGCTCAATGCACGCCAAATGCCGAAAGTATTTCCGAATATTTTTCATATGCATTTGCATATTTTTCCAAATTTCTTTAAAGTTAACAAACAATTCACCCACCTTTTAAACGTTGCCTACCTTTTGAGCTTCCCAACTTTGGCCGTTTTTCTATTATGATAATTGCTGTTGTCTGAAGAACTTTTGGCTTATAACAAACGTTGGCAAGAAACTTGCCAGCAGATTTATGGCCTCGTGCGATTGCAGTTGACTTTAAAGGATCCTGGCCAACGGAGAACAAAGAAGGGAAGCCAAGTACTGCCTTGGGGTGGTGTACGTTTTCAGCCTAATTTAAGCAAATTTAAGTTGATTAACGTAATTTGTATTTTTCCTTTTTTGCTCCTCGCTTTTGTTGCCTAATTAAGTTTGATGCCATTATAAATCCGTGCTAAACTTCAGTTTGTTCCTGTTATTATAATAATCATCATTCACGGACGGAAGTGTTTCGGCATAAAAAGTGAACTAATTACTTCCGTTGGGAAGTGTTCGACCATTTTTACGTAGTATAGTACTTATAATTTGTGTGGCGTTTACAAGAACTTCAACCAATGACAGTGGGGAGCCTCGGACGTTTTCCCCCAAAAAATTTTTGGCTGTAATAACTGCCGGAATTTGGCATGGCTTTCCTTCCGTAATATTTTTGGCCCTGTGACATTTTCTGGGGAAAAAGAGAATTCCGTAAATTTCTATAAAATTGTGCAGCGCATTTGGCACGCAAGAGAATTGGTTTTTTTTTCGCAAAAGTCCCAAAAGTGTCAGCTGCTTTGATTCGTTAAAGTAAAGGAACTTCGGGTGGCTTTCCGACGGAAGCACAAGAATCAAAATGATTGGAATACATTTTTTGCAACTGTGATTTCATACTGATTGAATGGATTTCATGGTTGTTTAATTTTTCTATATGTAAGTGCACACATTCCATTTTGCCGACATACAATTTTCCACTTAAACGATTTGTCCTTATGTTTAAATTATGACCCCAAAGGGGTTGTAATTATTTTAAATCAATGAGCAATTATTTGAATCATTACATTTGGCATGAATAAAGCCATGCAAATCTATATACATTGGTTATTTTGAATTGCATTTAATAAATGACTTAACGACATTCAACTAAAGTCTCAAAACAGATTACTTTTGTTTTACTTCGAGCCAAATAAAGTGAATTATGAATTGAGTTGTCCCCGCTAATTAGAAACATTTAAGAAATTACCATCGATTATAGTTCAACCTTCGGCAATTTCCTGTCCAATGGTGGTGCAAGCAAATTGCCAGTCATTAGGCGACAGGCCGAAGAGTTTATCGTCGCACTCGAGAAGGTGAGCTTCGTACATTAACTTAGTTAATAGTCGTCGACCCCCCGTTTAAGTCCCCCCGGGGGCCCGGTTACCCCTTTAGCCCCCCTCGGTGTACTGGCAAATTGCGCTCTATTTTGCCCGGAGCTGCTTCAGTACACATGTTTCGCATTCGCAACTCGCGCTTTATTATATGCCACTGAATATTTTATGCATGACGAACCAGCGGTGCAACCCAAATTGGCGGTATTGCGGCTACTTTATTTCTACCTTCTTCGATTCTCCGGTTGCCTGGTTCACCGGTACCTTTGGGTTCCTTTACCAGTCACTGCACAAGTAAGAGGTCGAGCCCAAGGTAGAGCCAGGTCCTCAATCCTCGGTTCTGTGCCTGTGGCTGTGCAAGGAGCACTTTGAGCATGCGGCACGCAGGTTGCAAGTTGGGCCGCAGTGTTTATAGTTCAGGCGGTAACTTGTGCTGCCAACGCCAGTTGCCAAAGTCGCAAAAGTTACGGAGCTGCAAGTGTCACGTAACTTAAAGGCTCTCAGCATAAAGTCGCTGAAATACTAATTTACTCGGGCAACGAAGTGAAATTGAGGGGGATCTAAGTGCTCTGTAATTGGATTTCTTCTAGATACATCTTTCTAGATGCATATTTCTAAACCTGTCTCGACTTATTTTTACTCCATGGCTAACAGAGAACTATGAAAACAATTTGGGATTAACGCACTTTAATTCTTTAACCAGTTTAAAAAAAAAAATTGCTTAATTTTCGATGGAAAAAACTCAACGAAGTGATCGAAATAATCACAAATAAAACTGTTGTCCACAATGTGCATAAAAACAAGCAGCGTGTAAAACAAATATAACTCAATTCACTCTTGCCCACAAATAATATGTAATTTGTAAGTTTGTCAGTGGCAACAGCTTGCAAAAGTTTTAACCGCTTTAAAATATTAAATTCTTTAAAGCTTAAACATTTTTAAGTCTGTCTATTTCAGTTACAGAAAGGCTATATTTCAGGAATAATTTATTAAGCTCTCCCAAATATTTGACTTATTTTCTTACAGTGCCGGCTTGGCTCATGTGAGCGGTGACACAACCAGCAGATAAGTTAGGTCTAAAGTTCATCGATGCCTGACAAATGGTAGCTGTCACAAACACCAACCTCTACCATCCTCCCACCAGAATCATCATCGTAGACAGGGCAAAAACAATGCAGTAGGGCAGGCACTCGACGGCACTTCGACACGCTCCGCAAATGAGGCCATTTTCAATTTCAGAATTTATGAACGGAGGTGGTCACGGTACCCCCAAAATCCCCCTGTCCTTGGGCCCTGGAATCCTTGCCATTGCCGCATCCTGCACACATGCACTTGACAGAGCATTCGAGAGTGTTGATGACGATGGTGGCAGGACAATGCGTAAATGAAACTTTCCATGTTGTTTGCCATGGAGTGGCCATTAAATATTCATGCCTCTGTCCGAATATCTGTATCATTGGCGGCCTTGCTGTTATATATATATAGTTGCCCGTCGCCCGAAAACCTGGCTGCAAATTCCTCCTCACACACTGGGGACTTGTTTTATGTTTGGCGAGAAAAAGTTAATTGAAAAATTTGTCATATGCAAATTACTCAACTTGTACAACAACTTGTGCCCTTCTCGGCCAGTCCCCTTTTGAAATGGCCGGCATTATTTCAGCTCATCCATCCCAGGCTCCTGAGCACTTTATACTGAGCTGGGGCTTAGCCATCGATGAATAGACATAAACAAACTGTTCCTAACTGCGTCACGCAGGAGTTGTCCTTTCGGCTTCCTTATGCCTTCTTTCCGGACCTAATCCAAACAATTTCTTTCGACTTTGAACCGGAATGTTACAGTTGGTGGCGTCTCAAAGGAGTTACTTAGCTTTTTTGGCCGGCTACCATGGCCATTTTGAACATTTGCTAGATAAAGTACACCCTTAAAAAAAAGTTTTGTAAATGGTTTGGATTAACCCTTCCAAAAGCACGAAAAGTATGGTCCAAAATAATTTACGCATGAACAAAAATATCTTTAAAAAAACTTTGGTTTCTCAACTTTAAACAATGTAACCTTAAACTTAAAATAAAATATTATATATAGATTATAGATTATAGATTTTAATTTTAGAATTAAGTTTAGAAATACAAAATTTTAATTGTGCCAACTATTATGCAATATTATCATCTTATCCTCAACAAACTTTTTGTAAGGGCATTGCAAATTCGATGATTTCCAATGTCGATAAGCGCATCTTGTTTTTATGAGAACCATCCGTTCTGATTGGATTTGAGTCTGGCCATAAAAATGGCAAAGCCCCGATGGACACCAACTGCAGCAACAACAGGCAGGACATGGCCTAATGTCGGTGTGTCCTTTGTTGTGCTGTGCTGTTATCATTGGCCAAATATCAAAATCAATAAGCGTACGAAACACCATAAACATCAAATTCAAAAGGATATGGTCTCTTTAAATCGACTGGAGCAAACGATTGTATCGGCTTGCAATAAACCCAGGCATTGCGACTACGCCACGTAGTCACTCAAGAGTGTCCACAAATCCCATACGCGTGACACTGTCAAGTTCTTTCCATCAATAATCCATGGGAAATGTCCGAGGCATTTCCCTTGATTGAAGCAAACATAATGAGCTTAACTCGAGACAAGCGACAGGCAATTCACCTGCTCAACAGCCCTTGGTCAAACAAGGGTCATACATAGTGAAAAAGTTTAGTTTTCTTTAGTAATTCGTCAATTAGGTAACAAAAGCAGATCTTATAGCATTTAAACACAATGACGGAAGTTTAAAGTTGAATGAGTTAAAATATAATTGGATGCTAAACAAAAAAAACGATATTATATTTTTAGCAAGAATTAATTGAAGACATAGTGAAAATACAACAAAACAATTCATTTGGATCTATAATTTTTTGTTTAGTTAACCATAGGTTTTACTCAATTGGCTAAGCAAATATTGTCTTAAGGTAGCAGAAGTAGTTTGTTTAGATATCAAAGTTAGAAAATAAATTAAAATTTTTAAGTATTTCGAAAAAATTATTGAACGATTTAAAAAAGGTAATATGTGAACTCTGGTGAAAGAATTTCTGACTAGTAACAATCAGTTAAGGTAATTAAGTTAAACATGACCTTACTTTCTTTCTGTGCATCTTTTCACTTTCTCTTTGGCTGGCATTCACAAAGAGCATTAAATCTCGAGGCTTAGGACCCAAATATAGAACATTGAACAACAATTGCAACGCCGCTTTGTTGGTGTCAAAGTTTTTCAAGGATTTAGTTCGGGTTGGGCAGCCGAGAGCTTTGCATTTGTCGGAATTTAATTATTTTTTTCGCTTTTGCCCCTTTTTGTAGTTTGTCACCTAAAGAGTGATGTTGGGGAGGAAACAATTAGTAAAATTGTGTGTGTATGAGTTTGAAAAGAGTCCTTTTAGCTTATTGTGGCACTAGAACACTTATTCTACGTAAAATGAAAGGGAATAATTACATGGCAGTTTTTATTTTTCACAGAAAGAGCATCATTAATGACTTTAATTTAAATGTTTAAAATAAGAAAGGGAAACAAAGAGCGCTTTAGGTTGAATTTCAAGTTTCTCCATCGGTTGTTTTTATTTTTTTATTGTTGGGGACTTTTTTAAACTAACTTTTATATTTTTGTTCTTTTTTACCCATTTATTAAATTAAAAGTTTCAAGCTATCAATTTGAATGGGTTTCAGGTATGTGAATTGTGATTATAGTTATAACCCAACGAATCGACATCTTGAATCTCATTTTATCTATTTTTAATTAATTGCTTAACTCCTTTCAAAAGCTTATTTGCAAAAAAAGTTAAAATTTAAGTACAAGCGGTTACACAAAGAGAATAAAAAGCGTAAACAACATTATCTCCTCTCGAAATTTTCCATCGAAAAACAATTGAAGGACATCCGAACAAACAAAAGCCCATGGAATGAGGTTCAGAAACAATTCCAATTTGAGGGTTTAATTAACCAGGCGCAGACAAGACTAAAATTGATAGATTGATCAAATTAAGGCAATGTCAAGTCAATTTTTATCCTCTGGCTGGCTTTCCGACCGATTGGCCTCTTCCTTCTGTTTGTATTATTTTTGCCAAGCTGTAAACTTTTGAATTATTACGCAATAGTCGTATTTACAGCCAGCTCGTTAATTTAACTTTGCGGTTATTGCGGAAATTTGATTATTAATAGCTCAAACGTTGTAAGTTCTTGAAAAGCGGAGAGTAATTACGATGATTAAAACATATTAATAACGCGTTATATGTGGCTTTATCAGATCCTTTGAGCGCCTTGAAGACCAATTCATTCTGTTAATTATTACTGGTCTAGTTGTTTGGTTGTTTGGCCTTTGACTAATTAAGCTCGTTTAATGGAGCACTTGTAATGATTGGTAAACTAAACAATGAAGATGAAATGTATTGCTATTAATCAATGTTAGATCTATCTGGTGTAACAAAGGCCTTTAATTGCGCCAAAAACTGTAAAACGATTGCGGTCAGGTTTCAATAATGCTTTCAACACGTTGACTGCCCTTAACGGCAGTTAAAAACAAAACGAGAATCCATATATGTGCACAATACTTTAAAATAAATAACAATAATATATAAAATCAGCAATAAAACTAGCCTTTAAATCCATTTAATTAAGTTTTTGATTGATTATATAAAAATGCAATCTAGTTTGTTGTTTGCAGTATTTTTTGTCGCACTGCTTTACAAATATGTCATTTTAATCACGTTGTTGCATGTAATAATGACATTTTTATAAATTTAAAGTTCACAGTCGTTCAGCGCATGGACGTAATTAATAAATAACAATAAGGTCCAGTAAAAGAAAAGTGTGAAAACACCCCTTTAAGCATTTTATAGGCCTGCGTGACCTAAGCCAATATGTTTACCTAAAAAAAAAAATTTGATTAAACGTAAACAAATTTACCCGCTCTAAAGCGACAAGTAAGGGTCTTAAAAATTTTAGAGAAAAGCACACTCAGAAATATTTCACTTATGTAAATTCAAGTTGATAATCTAAAAAGATTAGCTAAATAATATTAGTTCGGGCCACTAAAAGTATGAAGAAAAATGTATAATATATTATTATTTTAAATTTCTTAAAGAAATATAAAAAAATAAATTTTATACCATTTTAAAATTGTAGGTTAGTTTTAATTGATAATAAAAAATAGCATATTTGCTATTTCTGTAAACTTTAATTAGCTATAAATTAGATGGCATTTTACTGGTAGTTTTTTTTTTATTCCAGTATAGCGACCTAACGAAACGGCAAACACGTTTATCAGCTGCCAAGCCAGGCAAACTTTATTCAATTTAGGAGCCAGCCGCGAATAATCTGTTGGCCCTCATCAGCGGCAAGTTCGCGGGTTCCGCTAATGGATCCAAACCCTACTGTTTATTTTGCATAACTTTGGGTAGGAAGCTAGAGGAGGGATTCCGGGCAAACAAGTCTAAGTCTACAGAGAACTCGAGTTGCCTGTAATTAAGAATATACTCACTTGGCCTCGTTGATGCTCTGGAGATTATCCCGGTTCTCGATGATGCTCGACAGGAGGCTGACCACCTCAGTTCGGTTAAGACTGCCCAGCAGAGTGGTGTTCACAATGCTGTTCAGCTCGAAGCGCCGGACGGCGAGGATGGTGCAGTTGACCAGCAGCTCGGTGTCCACAATTTCCGACATTTTCCAGTCTGTTGTCAGGGTGGGCGGTATGTTGCTTAATGATCACGCTGCACTCTTGCACCATTTAATGAAGCGGAACCATAGAAACCATTCGGCTGACAGATTTTTCAGAGAAAAATTCTCCGTAATAGCCAAGCTTTTACTTGTGCCACTTCCTCTTTAGTCTTGATCCTCTTTTGTGGGGCTCTTTCGAGGGATATTTCCTTTTATTTTCAGTCAACAACCAGCCACATGTATTCCGTTTTTAAAGTCTTGGTCAATGACAATTTGCACTTAAGACTGCATGTGGCCAGATGGCGTCATTTGACTGAAACACTTTTTTTGATTTTTATTTAAATTAATTTAGCACCAAAGCTGGCGAAAATCATTTCTTTATTTAATTTTGTTTTTATATAATTTATTTAGTTTAATTCAATTTATTTTATTTTATTTGAAAAGTTCTTAACGCTACAAGTATACAATTTGTAATTTAATGCGCTGTTACACAATTTAATTTAGTTTTATAATTCAAACCGAGGTGTATTTATTAAAGAGGTATTATATTTTTATGTATTTTTTGTATCCGGATTTTAATTATTTAATTAATTATTTTAATTAATAACTAAACAATGTTTCACTGCATTAACAGCCGTCATTTGTTTTAAGTACAATTAACATTTTAGCCACACAAACCGTAATCAGCTTAACACTATTAATAGAAGCTTTATATAGTCACTTTTTAATTATTCAGAAACCATTTCATTTCATTTACTATTAAAAGAGCATAAGCTGAATATTTAAAATGGAGCGACTTATAATGACTTAACGAGCATTTAAATTATTATTTTTAAATCACATTTCCACACATTTTGTTTGCATTCCACTTTTGTTTACTTTAGGGATTTTGAGACCATTTTTTTTTTGTTTGCGAATATTGGTTATTGTGCTTTTGGCAGGCGTAAAGCAAACACAACACACGCACAGATGCGATGAGCGCACTCACACACAACAAAGCCACCGTTATTTGGCAGGACACTCGGTTCAAAATGCCGCTCGAATATACCGCTATCCTTGCTGAGCGCGTTCTTTAGCACTGCAAGTGCCGCCGCCGACTGAGCGTTTTCTGTGAATGTGGCTGTGGCTGTGGAGGAAAAACCAAAGTCTGCAGGTCCTTCTGCCGACGTCGCTGCCACGGGCAAGTCAACACGCACAACCTGTTGAGAGAACCACTGCAACATTACTCCATTGGCAACATGTTGCAGGAAATATATTTATGGCAACTCTATCGTACCATTGCATTACGTTTCATTTATTAATATGAATTTCGTTTAATATTCCTTCAAAAATATACAATATTCATTTCAAAAATCATAACATTTAAATCATGAATTATGGATGGCCAAGAATATAATTTCTCTAAAAACCGATAATATATATAAAGCCTACTTTATGTTACTTTATTATAAAAATACTGTTTCATCTTTATTTGAAGGACTTGCATGCATTACCTATTTCAATACAATACTTAATTAAGTATTCGGGACTTTACATCACAATTGCACCAAAATTAAATTGAATTTAAGGTCTAAGTACGTTGCTCAAATTTCCTAAGTGTTGGCACCTAATAAATCACAGAATGTTCAGCACATTGCTATTTCCGTTGTGCTAACTTTATTGTAATTTTTCTTGTTTTGTTTAACTGATGTACTAAGTTTGGTGTTTGGATGTTTGTTTCTAGTTCATTTCAGTTTTCTTCAAAATAAACGTAGAGCGTTGTGGTGCCATGATGAATGACCTGTAAACGATGGCAGAGGACACGGTTCACACCACGCCCACACACACTCTCAAAAACACCCACACACTTCCCCAACAAAGGCCACTTCAAGGACTGTTCAAATGACCTATTGTGATTGCGATAGTATGTGTTTGCCTGCTGTATTTTGTGTTTGCTAATGTCTGGAAATGTTTATCTCTGCCGCTCTATCTGCTTCTTTCGACCCCATGTGATTATGACTGCCCATTCAGGCGAATTCTAACCTCCCGCCCTCCTCTTTATGGACACCCAGAACACCCCCACCCCCCAAAACATGGAACTATGTACCTCATTTCTGCCCTGGGCACGCACACACTTACCCGCATATGCATTTCCATGTTTAGCTTTTTTTACGATCTTGTTTCGTTTAGTTTATAGCCTACTTTTAGCCCCGCCCCCAGCGCATCCACCCATTACGCCGCCCTAAGCATATTTCTGCACATTTTCGGCGCATACCCTGTTTGTAGTCACGGCGATTTATGCATGTTTATTATGATAAATTTATGCGCATTTGTTGTTCTAGAGTTTTTATAGAGAGTGCGAGAAGACAGGGGGATTACTCTAAAAACACAGGGCAATATGATGAAATTTTTAGCAAATACATTCATGCATTAAACAGGCTTTTAGTCAAATTTTTTTTCCCTACAGTTAGAATATGGAAAGTACTATTAAACGCGCTGTGTTCGAGCATTCCGAACTTTAGATGCCCATTACAAATTTGGAAAACATTACGGAAAGTTTTGTGCAGTCAGTTGCAACAATTCTGATTATGTGCATATTTTTGTAGCATACTTAAGCGGGGTTACTTGGCACTTAAACACAATAGCCATATTTCGATGGGACATTTTTTTTAATAATTCTGTTGGAATCAATAAACCTCTTAACCATTTTCTAATACTCCTTACTCTACAAATGGTGAGCAAAAAAAAAACAGATAACTCACAGCATCAGATTGCTCTAATAAAGTCCTTTTTGGGTGGTTCAGCTTCGTCAATAAATTGAACCGGAATAAGTGCAGACCAAACTACAGACATGACTCAATATGCATACATACGTATGTCCCAAGTGGGAGGAAAATCACTAACAACCGACAAGGGAACCGCCCCAAGTCAACATGTGTCAATTACCGCTTGACTTTGTTTTGACAGCCTGAGAAATAGGTTTGTTTCCTTGGTCGACAAGAAAAGTGCCCAGAAACTGGATACTCTCGCTGCCAGTTCTTGTGAAAAATAAAGCATACGCCGTGTGTACATCACGGGTAGAATTCCATCGATGGTGTCGCCAATGGAGAGCAACAAACTTTAGTGCTGATTTATGATTGCGGTGTGGTTAGAAAATATATCTCGGGGAAACTTTTAGCCAGACATCTGCTGGGAAAAATCGCTTTTGCAGCCAGCGAAGCGCGAATTGCGAGTCCCATTCGCATGTGCAAATTAATTGCTAACCGCAAAAACATAATTGCCGGCAGATATATTTTTTCCAATCAAAAAGCATAAAGAAATTAATCATGGCCTTCTGGCTTTGTGTGTGCTTGTGAATAAAGTGTAATTATCTTGAATTAACCGTGCAGTCAAAAGCATTGATTATTATTAATTCAGTCAGAAGACATCGATGACGAGACGGTTACAAAAATCTGGATAAACTTTCAGGAAAAACTTCTGGGCTATCAGCTCAGCGGTTGTCGATCGTCGACCTTCAGAAACAGCGAAAACACGAAGGCCACTGTGAAATGTAAGTGTAATTACGGCAAGTACTAAATCACTAATTAAACGAATTATTACTCACTGGACATCAGAGCGCACAACCAAAGAAACGGAGCCAGGCAACTGAGTTGCATGAAAATTGGCAACACAAGGTTGCCGCACACAGAGCCAAGTCTTCCAAAGGTCATAATCAGCAGCAAAACCATTGTCCTGAAGGATAAAAGTACATAAATATAAATTAGGGATTGATACGGGGCATGTATCTTACCTCATCAGGGTGGGGAAAATCACCACAGACATTCCAATAATTGTGGTGGCACATATGCCCATTAGAGTCAGGTAAACGGCGGACACTATCATCGTCCCCAGCGAAGTCTTCACAAAGTACAGGCTGCCCACCAGGAAAATGCAGATGAATAGGAACACCTCTGCCAGGATCTCACATAAGTTAATTTTTCAAATGGGGATGCAAAGTTTTTTTAATTTTTAATGTTTTCAATACGCTAAATAGTCAACCTTAATCAATAATAGTAATTTTATCACAATATTTAAGCAAATTTTTAAATATTTGGAAACCAACAACTTTTAAGTTATATATATTAAAAATAATTCCACAATTTTTTCCCAGTAATAATTTCCTCAATGATTTCTTAGTTGATACTTTATTTTAAATAATTTCTAATAGTATTAACAATAGTAAAATATTTACAGAAAAAGATGCAAGGGAAAATGTTTCTTTTTTAAGAACTCTTAATATTTGTTATTTAAAAAAGCTTATAAAAAAACTAGTTTTTCAATTTATATACATCATGTTTTCCAATACGAATACATTGAAATTACTTATATAGATCGTTTGACAATACCTTTGCATCCCAGAAAACAAATGTAAGACTACAGTACTCACTTAGTATGTGGTCCGCGACAAATCGGATACGCAACAGTGGAAAAATTATGAGGAAGCCGACCAGGCCAATACCCGACACGATTATGTTATCCAAGTAGCTTTGAGGGTCGTGGTTCTGTTCGTTTGAGATTATTACTTTAGACCCCGAAACCCGGAACAAGCGATCTCCTACCTACTAGAGCGCACTCCACCCGCTTGGCCTCCGCGTCCATGGACTTTGCCATCGCATTGTGATCCAGAACCCCGCACATGCTCGTGTCGTTTGCCCCCAGAGACTCCATTGCATTCATTGTGGCAAAGATCTGCGGCAGCCACAGACGCACCGAGTTGACACTAAAAATGGAAAAACTACATTAATGAACAGATTCCAATAGATTTCGCTAGGCAGATTCCGAATCTGGTCACGAAAGTTTAACACCACTTCAGCGTATTGAGAAAATTGACCTCGTAAAACTGAACCTTTAAAAAAAGGCAAACGGATTCATTTTTTTTCTTTTTGATGTTTTAAATTTCAAATTATTATTACAATTTTAAGAACATGGTCAAGTGCAGCTATATGTCATTTAAAAATTAATTTCCCAAAATTTTAGATTTTTAAAAGCCTGATTTCTTATAAAAACTTTGTTTACCGAAATGTATGAAAAAGTATATAGTTTGACATTTCTTCTAGCAAAACGACAAATTATATATTACTATTATATTATTATTTTTAAACATTTTTAATATTCAGCACAAAAAAAAATGGCACTAATGATAGTATTCTTATCCAATAAATTTTGGTGATCTGAATCTGAATTTGGATCAATCGACTAAAATTAAAAAAAAAAAAACCATTGCACATTTTTGAGCCTCGATATTAGGGTATCGGAATTGGTTTAGCTTTGGTTAATCAAAAAAAATAGTAATAAACAAAATGTTAACCCTAACTCACCACATTATCTGGCAGAAGTGCAGGCAGTAAACCAGCAACGAGATGGTCAAATAGGGCTTTGAAAACATCGGCTTTAGCTGTCCGAGGCCCTCGATAAACTTGTTCTTGGCGCGCACAAATCTTTCCTTGTGTGTAAATGACCGACCAGTTCCATCAAGATCAGCGGAGCGATCGGGCGTTGGATCGGTGAGACGTTTTACCTGCGAATTACAAAATATATAAATTTTAAGAGTTAAAGTACAGATGTATTTCTTGTAATTTAACAAGGTTTCCTACCGGATAGCTCTCCTTACTCTTGCGCTTGTTCACCTGATAGATGCGCTGCAGGGACACCAAGGCTTTCTTGTAGTTCCCCTGAGCCATAAGGAACTTGGGGCTCTCGGGCAGGAAAATGTGCAGGAAGCCGCATAGCAGACTGGGCACCGAGCTGACCGCCAAGAAGACCTGCCAAGTGCGAACTGCGGGTACAAGATGGAGTTCAGGATTGAGGCCACACCGTGTGAAACACACCTACACTCCAGAGTTCCCACCTCGAAGAATATGGGCACAGGCAGCAAAGCGTAGGCCAGCAGGGGTAAAATCATCGATCCAACGGAAACGCAGAGGCCCACGAACAGCATGATATACGGCCGGTGCTTCTTGCCATGGAACTCGGCCAGGTAGCTGACCACCACCGCAAATGGACCACAGATGCTAACGGAGATTTGCCTGTTAGATTGGTTATCGATTTTGAACTAAACTAAACACTAGAACTCATTTGGGATTTTAATTATTAGAAAGTCGTATGTTATGTTGGATAAATTTTAGAAACTTAAGAAAAACATTAAAGGCTTGATTAATATATGATACCCAATTAAACAAAATAGTTTTCTTCTTAAATCTGAGACGGACAATTAGGCCAACATTTACAAAAGTAGCAACGAAGCATGTTGCAACAGAAAGTCAACTTATTTAGTATGATGGGGCTAGCTTCAACACGCAGCTAGAACCATTTGAGAATTATAGCTTCGTAGATGTACGAAGTGTAACCCTATTGTGTGATGTTTGACTTTTTTTGATTGGATTTCTATCAGAGTTCCCGTTGCAGATGTAGAATATACCCCAATTCTTATTTATACGACAAGCTTTTGAGCTCTTTTTCTGGGACTACTTACATAAAGCCGTCAAAGAACTTGAAGGCCATTAGCTGGGCTGTGTTCTGGCTGAAGGAAGTGCACAAGACAAAAAAGCCGTCGATCAAGCCGCCAAAAATGAGCACAGGTTTACGCCCCACGGTGTCCGCAATAAATCCCCAGGGCACCGCCGAGATGATCATCCCCGCGTACGTCACCGCGTGCAGCATTCCCTTGTCCACGATGCTGAGATCGAGGTCGCATTCGGCCGAGGGCAACACATAGGACAGCGCCGAGGCCGAGAAGACCATCGCCGTGAGGCAGGGCGCCGCGCTGCACACGATGAACACGTTGAACAGCCCGAAGCCACACTCCGCGATGGCCGTCTCGAAGTCGGCGGCCTCCTCCGTCATCACAATAAGGATATACAGTCGGGGATGTCGGCGTAAGAGTGTCAATGGAAATTTTGAAAACTACTTAAAAGACTCCTGGATGCTTACGAAGCATATGGTGGGGACTGTCACATATTTTGACATCTGGCGTTTATTAGGATTTTCCAAATGGGAGTTAACACAGATTTTACAAAAGTTATTTTTTCGTTTTTAATTTAGTTTTTGATTAAAAATGTATATATTTTCACAATAAACAAGTCTAAGTGGCAGCTTGAACAGGTTGTAAATAAAGTATTGTGTGGGAAAGAGAACGACCGCAGTTCCCAGAAATGAAGTGACTGCAAATCCAGTAATTGTAAGAAAGGTTGCAGCCACAATATGTGTCATTAGATTGCTTACAGAGAAGTCGAATACCAGGCCAAACGTGTCTGACAAAAACAGTCGTTGAGCTGGAAAAATACAATGCGGTTAGTTCATGCAGACCAAATATTCTAGTGCCGACACATAAATTCCTTTTTTTTTGTTTTTAATGTATATATTTTAAACCAGTTTACCTACCCAAGTGGCAGGCTGTAAATAAAGATGTCAACAAAAAGTATAATAATACACTTTACATAAATTCTTTTAAGGATTTTAAATGACTTAAAAATGTATTAATAAGTATGCAACGGACTTGGGGACTAAAAACATATTAATGCATACTGCTTAGACTGCGTTTATAAGTAATGTCTAACCTCTAGTGATTTCTGTGGCAACTTATTAAATTACTTGATGAAATCAGACTCTATTTAATAGTTGAGTTTTTAAGAGAATAGTCCAATAAAATTTAAATATATTTAAATAGGATATGAACTTTATTGGTTAAAAATCGGTTATTATATTAAGGACATTTTACGGGTACATAAGCTGAAAACATTTAACGCTTTTAATTAATACAAACTTATAAATTAGTCAATTCAAATTTAAAAAGTGTTTTTTTTCTATAAAAAAATATGCCTTACCTATTTTAACTGAAGATAAGTGCAGTGCATGGATGTAATTAGTATTTTCGAACACTTTAATTGCATTTTGAAATAACCAGGGTGATCTAAAGTGGTTAAATTGGATTGCACTTTTAGTGAAAGTTGCTTACGAATCACTGAAGCGCTCAATCTTATAAAGCTGCCAGATAAGTCAACCCAGGCGGCACTAATTTCCACTTAGCTTGTCTGCAGCTAATGAAAATCTGGTTGATGTTATCTGCAGTCGATAACTCACCTGCCAATTCAGGCAAGCACCCCAGCCCACCTGAGTTTTCCCGGTTTTAGTTAATTGGTGCTAATGAGATTTGCATGTCGCAGCTTCCGCCGACTTTTGTCCTTGCTCACCAGACAAATCCTTGGAGAGAAAGCTGGATATTCCTGTTCGTTGGCTTTCTATTGTTTGGGGGCTGTAGCAAATTGAATCAAGTTATCCAAGCAATGTAATTTGTACCACAATAAAGATATATTTGATATTTGGTTTGATTACTTAAGGTAAATATAAATAGTTGTTGAGCGTCTATCTCCTCTAAGCCAGTTAATTTTTTACCCCTAATTTGTACAGCTAAACAAAGGCTAATCTAATGTCGCAAGATCTGGTTTAAAATGGAAGGGAACCGGTAGAACTTCAACCGATTGTTACGAAGCCTGTCTCTTTAAGAAAATGTCGCTTTTGCTGGATTAGGCAGGAATATTGAGAGGATGCCGGACACTGCAAAATAAATGTAAATAAAATGATTTTTGCTGAATTTCAAATAGATTACTCACATATCAGCACTGCGGAGACCATTATAAATGGAGGCAAACAACCAATCTGAACGAACACGGGAAAGAGTAAATTTCCTGTCAGGGCACCAAAGCGTCCGCACATCATGGCAATGGCAACCACAACAGTTCTGCCAATCAAAGACTTTAAGTTGATTCGTTTTCAATCAAAGGGCTTAACAACGTACCTTAATTGTGTGGGAAACAGGACGACCACAGCACCCAGAAGCGATGAGACTGCGATTCCGGTAATTGTGAGGAAGGTGGCAGCCACAATAAGTGTCATTAGACTGCTTACGGAGAAGTACAGTATCAGGCCAAACGTGCCCGACAAAAACAGTCCATAAGCTGGAAATATGCAATGCGGTTAATAACATACCGAAAATAGTTTCTAGTAAAACGTACTCATCATTCGCTTGGGACCCAAGGCACGGATGATTCCACCAGCAAAAAAGTAACCCACAAATCCAGTTGCCGAGACAATAATGTTATTCAGGTACATGTCCATTGAGATCACCTTGGGCTACAAAAATATATATTCAAGACATATAGTTACTAAAAAATAAATTTAAAAATATCTTAAACATTATGTAAATCAACTTTTAAAATTCAGATAAAAAATAAACATTTGTTGAATATTTAAAAGATATTAAAACTTAGCGACATATTATAAATACAAGTAGTCAAATTAAGGAAACTATAATTGTCATTATATAGAACATATTTACTGCCTTCAACATAAATAAGCTTTACTAACTTATAATTAAAATAAACATTAAATAGATAAAATTAAAAAACTTTCTGTAACGGTATACACCTACTTATATATAACACATCATAGTAATCTTTTATTTTGTGTGCTAGCCACGTCATGATCACGATGAACAGGCGTTAAGTGAGCTGCCAGATAAACCTAATCTTGAGAGATCCAAGCCTGATACTATCTTCAGATCTATAATCTAGAGATCTTATCTCCAAGTTTTATCTGATACCTACCACTGAACAGGCGTCGGCGTAATTCAGGGCGGTCTTCGCCGTCTGATTGACGCTGAACTCCAGGATGGTGCACATGCTGGCGTCCTCTCCATCCTCGACGTGCATGGCTTCGTACTCCGCCATGGAGGCGAAGAGCTGAGGCAGCCACAGCCGGATGGTGTTCATGCCCAGGAAGATGCCGAACTGCATCACGTAGCAGCAGAGGGCCAGTCCCAGCAGGGGCTTCCTGGCCAGCGGCTTCATCTGCTGCAGACCGGATCGAAGGCTCTCCGCCAAGGTGCGCGACGGTCGCTTCGAGGGCTCCTTTTCAGTCTTCTCCTCGATGGTGTAGATAACCTCGTCCCGGGCGGCCTTGCGGTTTGGTGCCTCCTGTATAAGAGCTTTGATCTGTGGGACAATGATTTTATAAATAATTAAAAAACAATTATTTTAACTATTTACTTACCGGATAGGTATCCTTGGGCTTGCGTGTGTTCACATGGTAGATCTTCTTAAAGGCCTCCAACGCTTCCTCGTTTCGTCCTTGGGCCATCAAAAACCGCGGACTCTCCGGCATGCCGCAGAAAATCAGACCGCTGACCAAACTTGGGATGCCCAAAACAAAGAGGAAAATTTGCCAACTATGGACTTAATAACAATAAATAATTAATGATTTCCATTACTTCAGTTGACAACTTTATAGGCAAACTTACTGTCCAAGCCCCAGAAGTGGAAGTCCCAATCTCTTGGAAAGATGCCCCAGGCCAGAAGAGGCAGTGAAACCGTAGCCGTGGACGTCACCATACCGACGATCATCAGAACGGAAGATCGGTGCTTGGGTCCGTGCATCTCCGTCAAATAGGTAAAGAGCACAGCCGCTGGACCATTTACCCTTTAAAAAGTATTTAACATATGCATAAAAAATACAATAATAATAAGAAATGTGTTAATACTTACACCAAGCCACCCAAGAATTTGAAGACCACCAGCATCGTGAAGTTCTGACTCAAAGCACTGCCAAAAACGCACACTGCATCGATCAGATAGCCCCAGTAGAGTATCTTCTTGCGCCCCTTGGTATCTGCCAGATAGCCCCAGGCAATGGCCGAAATGGTCATGCCCGCATAGGCCACCGCGTTCAGCACGCCCTTGTCCTCCAGAGTCAGGCGAAGATCGCACTCGGCCACTGGCAGGATGTAGGACATGGAGCTGGACTCGTACATGGCGGCACTCTGGGCGGGAATGGAGACGATGAGGAGCATTAGGTTGAAGAGCCCGAACCCGGCTCCCTCGATCGCCTTATCGAATGTGGCAGGACCTTCCTCGGCGGGCGTGGCAGCCGCCTCTGCCGTACTATCTGAATTCCCATCCGCATCGTTGTCATTTTCCAGCTCTGTATTTGATAAGATGAAATAGTTTTTTTATGGCAGACACCTTCTAATCTTTTGCAAAGCTCATTTTAGTTTTTTGATAAAGGCATTACGCGTTGCCTGGAAACGTGAGAAAAAATTTTGCAACTTGAAGAAAATTTTCCACATTCACCTTGCACAGCTCAATTCAAATCTCTTAGGAAGAAAAAAATCACCATTGACTTTTTAAACAAACATTTTAACGTTTTATGTAATTTTAAGTACACATATTAAAAATAAACCTCAATTTTCTTCATTATGCACTTTTATATTCCCTTTACCTTTACTCTTTTCAGGATCCACTTTTTCAGTATTCTTTTCCGACATCTCGGCAATTTCTGTTTTTCACAATATCTTTTTACAATTGGCTTGCTCTTGAAATTGATTGTTCAATTAATGCGCTACAGTCATTGATTACAAAGCGCAAGCACAAATTCCTTAAAGAGTTCAGTTCACAGTCACTTATTTGGGGTTCTCCAGTTTATTTGAATTTATCCGCCTATTGCTCACAGTTGCAGTGCTGAACGAGAAATGATCTCCTAGAGTGAATGGCACCTGTTTTTATCGGAGTTAGTCTCCATAAAACTGAAGATTCACTCACCAACAAGTCTCTTATCGCGGACTTTACAATCTAAAGAAGCTAATAAACTTATAAAACCATTTTTATCCAGAAAGAACACGTTGCGTTAGAAAGTAGGCACTGTGAGTTTCAAAAACCTAAGGTTTAACAGGAATTAATGCAAGTCCTATGGTATGCAATTGATAAATTAATAAAACATATTTTTCTCTAATAACAATTTAGAAGAAATTCCATTAAAAAGAGTCAGCATTATATTTTTTTTCTTAGTTTATAAATATTAACAAACATCCAGATTTTTCTAAAATCAATTTTTAATTCAGACCGCTACTATGTTTTTAACATTGAAACCCTATATTGACATCATGAAACGCACTGTATGAACATATTTGGGGTAGCCACGCTAATACCATGAGGTAGCAACCATTAAAAATAGGGAAACGTGTGTGGTTTTCATGAGTATGTCAGATTTAAGCAAACAGTATTACTTTAAATAAGTCAATAAAGGACCTTAATTACAGAATTGGAAACACAGATTTCCCTTATGTTACAAATCCCTGTTTGACATTTAAATCCTTCTTGAAGATAGGAAATTTTTCATTTTAATTTGATCCGTTTTAATGACTTTTGAGTGAGTTGTTAGTCCAGGTTGACTACGTCATTTCAACCGTGAAATCTGTGGATGCTCAAACAACTCGCTTTTATCTCGGGACACACGACTGTGGGGTGATCTTATCTCTGTTAAAATTATCTCCATCATGACTAAACACATTTGGGGCCAAGTGAATGAATTACTCATAAAGCGTGGAAGATGCACATCACACAATTGGGGTTTTTATTTCTTACACTAAAAGCAGTTATAAATATGAGGAGCTCGTTTTTCCAAACCGTTCACAATGATTGACACAATCTCTAGTGTCACCAAAGTCCAGCCTTCTGCCTGCTCATTCGATGGCGTCCACGAGTTTGCACAGCATACGATCGTGCTGGTAACTGGGGTCATTCTTTGCCGCTGCGTTTGCCTCCAAGGGATCCACCTCCGTCTTAATCTTTGCCCCACCACTCTCGTCATCATCCCCCAAAACCGGAAGCGCTGAGAAGGCAGTGTTCACGATCTCCCGCACTCGCTCCAAGTGCTTTTGGAAACGGGTGGCGGTCTCCACGCGCTGCCGCTTCTGCATTTCCATCATGACGCGTAGTGTTTCCCTTGCCTGATGAGGTCTAAACTCGTTCAGCAGGTGATGCATATTAACGAATAGCAGACTCAGATCGTCTATCTAAAATTATGAACAACAAAGATTTAATTATTATTATTATTTGCTTTTAATTAAAATTGAATTGACACGACGAAAAGAAAATTTTGGTCAGCCGCAGTTTATACAAATCGGGTATAGTCTTATCCTCTTAATCAAAAACTGTATAAAACCTTAAAATTGCCGTAAACTAGTAATCATTAAAGTTAATTAATTGGAAAGGTGCAGTAGCATGAACCGATTTACATATGATGATTTACATGACTAGATACTATTCCTGAACGAATTTCAATACATTAAAGCATAAATCATTTGAGGTTTATATTAATAACTCCAGGTATAAAAATTATTTAGGAAGTGATATGCATTAGTTCCGAACATAATTTATCTTCGTTACCTTCTCAGTGCGTCGCGGACTGTCAGGATTCAGGATAAGGAAGTCGATGAGGTCCAAGAAGTTGACCAGCAGCGAGTGGTTGAGCTTCTTGAGCTCCTTGCGCCGGTCGAAGTGGATGGGGATTAGGCGCTTAATGTTCTGGGACTCGAGACTCCGGATCATCTCATCGTTGTTGTACTGGATACCAAACATGCTGTACACTTCGTGCTGCGAGGGCGGCGGCGGTGGGCGGGGCGCTCGGTTGCGCCGGATGTTCTCCTCTGTGTAGTTGGCGATGTACCGCTCCGGCGGCATCGGCAGGCTGGAAACCTGGGTCTCCTGGTTGGACATTTCGGTATAAACAATTACACCTTGGAATTTGTTTTGTAGAGGTGGTGACACTATTAGAGCTGGGCTAGTCAAGCACGATAGTGATGACACTATCGACAGCATTTTTGATACTAGAAAATACCAAGCTCCAAGCAATTGCTCAAACGATAATCATTGAAGTGGTAAACATTTCAAAATAAAAATTTTGCGGAGTTTCATTTATTCTTCTTTGATTTTTTACGATACAAAATTTAAGAAAGTTTTTGTTTGGAAAATTTCAATGTACATTCTATTTAAACAGAGTTTAAAAAAAAAATCAACAAACTATTTATAATAACTCCGAAAAATTGTTGCTCTTCTACAAGAGCTAAACATGTCACAGAAATAAATCTTTTAAATATTTTGTGGTCTTCGTGCTAAAAATACTAAACAAAATATATTATCGATACGTTTAGGGTTACCATGCGTGCTTGGCTAACAGCATTGCCGCTTTACATTTTGCGTTCGCCTCTTCTCTCATTCGGTACTTGCTCGGAGAGCAAAACAAAATAAGAAACACATATATATCAAGGGTGAATAGGAAATCGTTCCTGCACCGATTCGCGCCAATTCCTTGCTATGAAATAAAAAACAAAACAGGAAAATAGAACTCAATTAGGGATAAGTCACTGAATCCATCGAAGACTTGAACGCGTGCCTCCACCATTTTGTTTTTCCTCGGTCCGCGTGTGTTTTTTGTTTGTGTGAGTGTGTTTGTGCAAAGCCATCCCGCAGAATGAATGTAAAAAGTGCAAAACCGAACTTAGGACAGACTTTTCGCAGTTCCGAATAGTAAACCATGGATCAGGAATCGCCGGAAGAAGCGGGTAAGCACATGGTCAAAGTAACGCCATCGAAGCCCCAGGCGATCTTCGCTTGATTAAGTCAGCGCTATTTCAGGTGTACCGCGCGTGTGTTTGTGTGTGCCTGTGTGCGTGAGTGTGTGAAGCAGGGAGAAATAAACAATAAAGCGGATCTCCGATTGGGTGTGATGTTTTTTTTTTAAGCAACTTTGGATCTTTTTCGCCCATACAGCCTACCACAGTGAAGCGCGTCGAGAGATATTGGACATCGCCCGAAACCGAACTGGAACCCAAGCGGCAAAGTGCATCCTTGCGTATGATGAGCAGCAGGACCTCGACTCGCTAATCGTCCTGCTCGAAGAGCTGTCCAAGAACACCGACTACTCCACGGACCTGCGGATATCACTGGGATATGTGAGTGCTAGAACATAGGGAAAACAGTAATAACTCGCTTAGATCAGCCATCAAAATTATGGCAAAATAACTTCTTAAATAATTTTATAAACCGAAATTCAAAAACATTGCGTAACTTTATTTAAGCTAAATTTTCCAAAGACTCAATAGATTTTGCAATTCAACAGGCCGGGTTTAAGCCGATTTTCAAAAGTTTCTGTGGGGTAAATTTTCCCTAAATGGACTTCCTTTATAGAAGTAAAATAAATCATTTATGTTAAGTTAAAAGTGTCAAGACTGTGTTGTTTTGAGACATTTTAAATAAATTGATTGAACATTTTTTATACATATGTACGTACGTATATATGTATATGTACGTATATGTACATATGTATTTGGGAACAATCAAATACTTAATTTGATATGAAAATTAATCTCTACTAAAATAAGTGAATTATAACATAAATAAAAAACACTAACCTTCTATTCCTTCTTATAGTATATGAAGGAGTTACAGCGCCACTGTTTACAAAACAGGAATGTCTCTGGACGATCGGCCATCATGGGAGCGGGAAGTGCCCTTCAATATTTTGGAAAGATCTATGGAGACCGCGTGGAGTACTTGCACCAGGTGGTGGAGAACCAGATGGAAGCCCTGCGCGCAGTGAAGCTTGAGAAGAAGAAACAGACGGAACAGACAGGCGGAAGTAGTGGGTAGGCTGAAGTCAGAAAATAAGAATCAATGAAGATAGTTAAAGATAAAACCATGTGGTCAGTCTTATCAGAGTCGAATACCGCTTATCGAGCTTTCTTTTACGCCCCCATCTTCGGCTTTGTTTACGTTAATATCAGTAAAGCCGGCTTCATTTCCCGTTTATTCACATGCTAATGAATGACGGAACACGTTTTTCTTCTCTCTAAAATAAATAACAAATAGAGTACTTAAAGAAATGAGTAAAAAGCCAGCTAAACGAAGGCAAATAAGAGGTAGACAAATAAGATAATTCACAAAATTCAAGAGCAACAGAAACGGTAGGGTTTTAAAGACGAAAAAACGTATATTTTAATGATTTGAAATTTGTACAAAATATTCTCAACATACTGTTGTTTCAGAGAAAAAAGTTTAAAACCCTACAACCACCATTAAGAAAATATTAAAAATGGTGAGTGTTTGTTATTAAATACTTAAAGAAATGAGTAAAAAGCCAGCTAAGCGGAAAAAACAAGAGGTAGGCAAATAAAAATTCAAGAGCAAGAACAAAAAAAGGAAAAAAAAAGAAAAAAAATTTAAACTGTGAATGTTTGTTTATAAATTAATTAATTAAAACAAGCTAATTCCATTGTTTACAGCGCAGACAAAAAATCATACTGCAAAATATAAGATAAGATAAAATTATTGAAATTAATTCAGTAAAGTTGATAATTTTTCGCTTCAATTGAGATAATAAATATGTACCTAAGTTGTTAGTTGACTACTAATACTAATTATATAAAACCAGTAAATGCTTCACGTAGAGTAGATTTTAGAATCATGCTATTGGACTAGTAATAAATATTTAACAATTACTTAGCAATATATATTAATTTTTATCCTTCTCAATTCAACAGGCCGGACAACAACGTTCCAACGCCGGAGGAGCCGCGTAAACGTCGCGCCAAAAAACTAACTCAGAAGGAAGTAGATCCCTATATGCTCACTGTAGAACCGCGAAAATTCAAGACCATGTCACCCGAGAAACGATTTAACTTGACAAGCTTTGTGAAATGCACGAGGAATCGAACGATAGAGTATCTTTACCAGGATCATACGCCGCCCAACTTGTGGAGGCACGCCCCCATTGTGGATCCCCACAATCCTAACGAACAGGATGAGAAAAAGCAGTACAAAATGTTTACGTATCATGTTGAACATCGGTATAACACCCTGCTGCCAGATATTCCATTCGAGCGGTTGAATCTGATCAAGGAATATGTGCACACGAACCAGGTGAACACCGCCGAAATACTCAACGAGCACATGACGACCAAGGACTACCTGGACGAGTACATTGCGCTGGAGAATCAAATGTTGGCCGCACGCTATGGAGCCACCGTCAGGACGAGAAGAAGAACGGATGAAACTGCGAAAAGAACGAGGGAGGAAACCGCAGAATTTGAGCTTTCAAAAAAGGTGCGACTGGACGAAAATGAGCCCATGGATATGGATACGGAAGCTGCGCCCGCCGAATCAATGGACGTTGATCAAGTGACGATAGCAGAAAACGATCAGCCACTGGCGTCCGGCGAGGCCTTACAAAATCAAATATCAGTGGATTCAGGCCTGGGCGATTCAATCAACACTAGTCAGCAGGACATCACAATCAATGCCACGCTGGATGTCAGCCAGGTGGAGAATTCCACATTAGGCGCGAGCCAAGTGGAAAATTTCTCCCTAAGCGAAAGTCAAGTGCAGGATTCGTCCTTAAGTATTAGCCAGGTTGAGAACTCTTTAAGCGTTAGCCAAGTAGAGAATCCACCACTGAGCAGTACGTTGGCCATTAACGAGTCCAGTGTTCTGGACAGCACGAGACTGAACTTGCCCCCTGGCAAAGATGACTCCAACCAGGAGATTTCGCAATTCGATTCCGGGATCGGTATGGACGACGTTTTTGATTCCCAGCTGCATACAGGTAAACTAATGGCAAAACAACGCCTGCCAAGCGTACTACGGATAAGTGTTTTTTTGATAGTTTTGTTGTAGTTTTAAAATACTCACAATTTTTATTTCTTCTTGTTTTTTGTTTTGGTACTTGATCCCGCATTTGCATCCCTGCATTGCAATTGCCACGGCAGGCCAGTCATTTGACGATGAGGGTGTTGTTCTTTCAGATCAAGAAGATCAGCGCCAGCTGTCCGGTAACGACGCGGAAGTGATAAACCTACCAGAAGAAAACACAGATCGATTCACTAAGATTGACGCGGAGGTTGAGTTGGATGTTCCAAGGGAGGTCTGCTATCCTGTTACGTTGAATATTTTGAGACTTTCGCAAAAATACCTCCGCCGTAAATGTATTTTTAAACTCCCAACAGAGTTCGACTTGTTTAAACAAGCGGTGAGTAATATTTCTGCTTCTTTTTTACAAATTTAAATATAAACTAGGGTTAGCATAAGTAAATATGCTAAAACGCATATAGATTTAATTTCATTTCGCTATTGTTTTTTTCTTCTAATTTCAGCGTCTGCCTTCAAAGCGAGAGACGGCACCAAAGTCTTCACCCTCTGCTAGAGCTCTGCATGTAGGGATAGAAAAAGAAGTTCCCCAAACAGAAGAGCAAATACCCGGCTCCCCAGTCAGCTTAGAGTTCGACGAGGATTTCAGTAAGTTGTTTTGCGATTGTTATTCACTTTGTGTTACTAACGTTATCTATAAATTCTAGATTTCTTGGGCTTTCGTCAACGTCGACCCACACTGGATTCTGGTTTTGATTTTGACGATTTGCGAGCCGAAACATCAGGGGCTGTTTCCACCATAGGAGAAGTTAAAGTTGAAATCGATGATCCTGTTGAAAACCAAGCCAATAAGGTATCAAATGAATCTGCAGACGATGTTGCGGAAGGGACTGTCAACGCCAGAGTGGAAAGTGGATTGGGAGAATCAATAGCATTCGATTTAAACACTACAACTGAACCCACAACAGTAAATGATAGTGCAGATGCCGCAAGATTTGATGTGACTGAAAACTCCGGAGCGGAAAGTGGATTGGAGGTTACAGCCAACGCAGGCATGGAAAGCGGATTGGAAGCCACAATAAGCTCTGAATTAGACACCACCACTGAGCCAATCGCAACGGACAGTGTTGTTTTAGATGTAACTCAACTTGACAATTCAACAATGGAAGTCACTACGATGCTAGACAACGCTACAATAATTGACGAAGCTCCATCAAAGGATTTGCCTGCTAATACAACAACTTCAGACGACAGGATACAAGATACACATGTAGATAGCTTCGCTAATTTTATGAGAAGCGACTCGCCACTGGACTTTGGTCACCCCGATAGCCTCTATTCCAACCTTAAGGTAATTATCATGTTCAAAATACAAATCGCAAGTATTAACCGAGTTGTTACAGACTCGAGACTGGCAGATAGCCCATGAGCGCCAGAACTTCAACATTAATGACCTGAGCACTGAAATATTGGACGTTTGCACGGCCGGCAATGGAAAAGCCACCTTAGCGGATGTAATGAAAAACAAAGATCCCAGTATTATGTGTTGCTACATGCTGGCTTCACTAATGCTGGTAAGTTAACAAGCTATTCCGAAATGGAAAACAGTTCAATCCTAACACGCCTCTTTTTCAGACAAACAACGGTAACGTCACATTGAGTTTTGGAGTTAGCGATAATAGTAAGCCAAACGAGACGTCTCAGTTTTATATGCAGCTACAAAATAGGGAGCGTATGGAAATCCATCCCGAGGATGATGTGGGCAACATGAATGCATCCAAGAGCCAAACGGCGCCGGTAAAGACCAAACGAAAGTCAACGGAAACGGCTTCTCCCGAGGTGTTTGCAAAAACTGTGCGTTTGATAAAGCCCATCCCAAAGATAAGTCAGTCCCACGGCGATGACGACTCGGGGATATCTTCGATGGGCTCTTCATTGGCATCAACATCCCGGTCTAATTAGTAGTAGTCTTGTGATCTGTCTTAAATGTGTTGAATTGTTATTTGTGTAGATTCGTCGCTTTTTCGTCGTCGTTTGTCCAGCTTTTGTGCCTATTCGAATTATCTTAATACTATATTACTTTCAGGCCCAGCGAGCAATGCACTTTTCCCAGCAGTACAGCAAGATCAAGAGGCTGCGCTAGATCAATACCTTGCCAGATATACATTTTATTTCATTTAAGTGTGTACAAATGTATTTTAAGTTTCTAAAGTTTAAAAGAGCTGCAACAGAAAGTAGCTTTTATTTTAAGATTCAATGACGCAATATTTGTTTAGAATAATTAACCAGTATTATCTAAGCTCGATTTCCTCAAGCATGTGAATGAGTTGATGCCACCTTTTAGTTTTTTTCTTTAATTTTTTCGCCTTACTATTTCATTTTCTTATACTTTTGAAACTTATCATTTCCTTTTTCTTTTGAATTTAAGGTTCTCAATGATTATTACAAATTTTTACATTACTTTATTTCATTTTTTACCATAATTTCTTTTACTTTCACATTTTATTATTAGCCATTTTTGGACTTGCATTTTGAAAAAATAGACAAATCATCGTTTAAATTGACCACAGTCAGTGTTTTGGAAATCCTTATGAGCTGATAGTACTAGTATCAAGTACCTGATCTCATACTGTACAAAAGTATACAAATTTAGATTTCTTTCTGTTCTACAATTAAAAGTATGTACATGAGAAAAACGTCAACTAATAGATAGCCATTTGTTCATAATGTCGCCTAGGTTATAGTGTATATATGTATGTATAATCAGAGTGCAAGAAAATGTATATTTACAGTGAAAAAAAAATGTTTTTTTCATAGGTCTAAGTGTAGCTCTTAAGGAATAAAACGAAATCATGCAATCACTTAAATATGTTTTAATCATGGTAAGTCGGAGGCTCTGCTTAATGCTATTCCGAATCGCTGCTGCCCGACTTGTGCTCCTCCTCCTTTTTCTCCTCAGTCTTGTAGTGGCGGTACTCCTTTTTGAGCTCCCACATGTTTTTGTGAGGATTCTTCATGTTGTAATCGCAGACATCCTTGAGAATCTCCTTCAGATAGCTGATGGGCTGGTTGGTGATCTTGACCAGATCCTTGATGTTATAGTACTGATGTTTCTCGAAGGCGTGGAAGAGCATGTCCATCACGGCATTCTTGTCGTCGCGCGCCTTTTTGCCCTCGGCCTTCTTGCGCTCCCGATACTCGATCTGCCCAAAATAGTTCGATTAATTTGGAGTTGGTTAAGGGTGAGTCTATGGTTGGACTTACATTGTGTGCGTGATCCTTGACGGGCTTGAAGTTCTGGACGATCTTGTCGATGGGCTGCACCCGCCGCTGGGGCTCCGACGCCTTGCGGATGGACTCCAGCTTCAGCTTCATGTAGCAAGTGTCGGCGATGGGCCGGCACTCCAGCTTCTGGACGATCCGGCCCTCCATGTAGAGCTTCTCGTTGTCTGGCTGCGCAGCCGGGTTCGCCGAGCTCTCCTTGCCTTCGGAGGGGGCCATGTGCGAGAATACCCCGAGCGTTTGCTTGGTCACCTGCGACACGTCCAGGACGTGCTCCGTGGGTATCTTCTCATCCGGATCGAGAGCCAGGACGGCCGGAGTGAGGGAGAGCGAGACTTGGGCCTTCTGGCCGGGCGTCTTGTTGATTCGCAGCTTGCCCACGTCCATGTTCGTGGGGGCCTTTTCCCATTTCTGGGCAATGTATTTCGGCACCTTCACCAGCCACACGCCGCGTCCGGCGTTGGACAGATCCAGGTCCTTGTCGATTATCTGCGTCTTGTCCTTCTCGTCCTTCGACATTCTGTTTGTTTGCGTTGGCTAAATAGGGATTTACAAATCTACTTGCACCGCTTTCGGATTTTTGTTTTTGTGGCGCAAATGTAGTGCTGCAAAACGCCAAAGCAACGGTAATGGAATTACACAAGATTTGGTATTTTCAGTTTTTGGTATTTCTATGTATCTACATCTTACATTTTACATCTTACATTTTACAATTTTTGTCTTCAATTTTATTGTAAGGTTACTCAAGGCGGGAAATTTAAACATATACAAGAAAATATTTTCGCCGGAAACTTACCAACAGCTTTTTCAAGGATCTGTTTGCCCATTGTACCACTTCTGCTGTACAAACATTTTAATTGAGCGCCTGCTGGACTTCTGCCAGGCATTAAACTTATCCGCAATTAAATTTTTGGCTCCTCACACTGCCTTCCTCCCTTTCTCCCTTCCTTTCTTTTTCAACTTCCATCCCCTTTCTTCACAAACATAAAAAAATTAAACGAATCTATTAAAATCTCTAAATGAGATATATTATATTATATGCTATTGGCCTATTTTAAGTTATTTCGGATTTTTTTCATAGATATTATTATCAGTGTTGTCAGTAATTTTCGGATTTACCGCAAGTTATAAAACATTTTATTAAAACCTTTATTCAAATCTTATTGGGAATTTCGAACGTGTTTCAATCTCAATTCCATCTTTAGAGCTTTCGTTCTGCAAACCTGCTCTAAAAAGCTTTTTGATAAGATTTAGCATATCTTATTGGGAATTTCGAAAGTGATTGAATCTTAATTCCAGCTTTAGAGCTTTCGTTTTGCAAACCTGCTCTAAAAAGCTTTTTGATAAGATATAGATGGAACGAAATAGTGCATACATAGCTTCCAAACATTGTTCAGACTTTATCAGCAGAGGTTCTCGACATGTCTATCATTGGTCTGACCTTTTTGGGTCTTTGTCTGAGCCCTGCTCTGGCTGTACTCACACCTGAGAACCATTGCGATAATCACTTCAGATACGACACGGAGGATGATGGAAGGACCCACATAGGCATCTTCACGGCGCCAAAGTTGGACACTTTTAATTTTAGATGGAAGGCGACTTTCGAAGTGCAAGGATCTAGCGCGGTAAGCAATTAGTAAGTCAAGTGTAGCAATTTGTAACCAGACATTTTATATATTTTCAAGATGTTTGTAACCAGATTGCAAACGTATCCCACTAAAGATTTGGCAGTCATTAATCTTTTGAATGGTGAGCCGGCTCAGGCATTTCTCCGGTTCATAAATATCAACACCGAGCTACCCAAGCTGCGCTCTTTGGTTTTGAACGGCAATGAGCTGTGCTCTAGTCCTAGATGTGAGTACAAAATTGGGATTCCGCAAGGATCCACATTAATCACAAATTCTTCTCTCAACAGACCCCTTTCCCAAGACTAGTGTTACTTTGAACTATCATATGTTCGTTAACGTTAATGAAGGCAGGAATTTAACTACGGAAACACCCATCTTTGAAAATAATCTATGAACAAAGTGACAATTGATAATTTTAATTATAAAAATCTTCCTTTTTTATCAAATTATTTTTATTATTATTTTTATTTATAAGGTGTGTTTTGATATACAATTGAAATGCACCAAGGCAATTAATTTGTTTCAGTGCTAAAGAAAACATATTTGATTGTGGTAAAAAACCTAATTCGTTGTAGTTAAAGATCATTAACAGCAGGGACTGTTATCATTATAAGTAATGTAATAAAAATCACAATGCAATAATTATTTTTCGCTTAAAAATCGGAAAATGTTTATATAGAATATAAATACTTTACAGAGTCGGAGATATCTCCTTCACTGCGTTGCAAACTTCTGATTGAAACTTTAATACCTGATTTAATTTCAGCGCCGTCAGGACAGGAAATAAAATAATAGAAGCAACAGCTGGGAAAAGCAGCCGTTAAAGTAAGCTGCAAAATTTAAAAACAAGCTATTTTTAAAGAAGATTATTTTACTAAACTTTGAAAAATAATCTTTACGCAATTTAGGTAAAGCCAATCGAATTATGATAACCCATAAATCATTATTTTTTGCTTGCAAACTTTTCTTTTTATATCACCATTTGGAATAGTTTTTCATTGTTTTTTATTGTTTTCTTTTAAATTAGGTTGACAGCTTGATGATTGTGTAGAATCTATTCCTCCTCCTCCTCGTCCTCCTCCTCCTCTTCCTCGTCATCCACCTCCTCCTCGTAGTCGTTGCCACCAGTGGTGGTGGTGACATTGGAGCTCAGCTCGATGGTGGGCTCCTGCTCCTCGATGGGCGTGATGGGCTCCTCGACCAGTGGCTCGGTGGCCTCGTTGTCGCCCTTCTGGATGGCCTGCAGCTCCTGGGCGGCAATCTCGGACTCCTGGCGAGCGATCTCGGCCAGCTCGGCAGCCTGGCGTGCCAGTTCGCCCTCGCTCTCCTTCTCAATCTCCGCCAGGCGCTCCAGCTCCTGTTCCCGCTGACGCTGCTCCTCCTCCAGACGAGCCTCTTCGGCGGCACGGGCTTCTTCGGCGGCCTTCTGTGCCGCCTCTTCGGCAGCCTTCAGGGCGGCTTCTTCAGCGGCCTTCTGGGCGGCCTCTTCGGCCAGACGCGCCTCTTCGGCGGCCTTGAGAGCGGCTTCCTCGGCGGCTTTCTGGGCGGCTTCCTCGGCGGCTTTCTGGGCAGCTTCCTCGGCAGCCTTCTGGGCAGCTTCTTCGGCTAAACGAGCCTCTTCGGCAGCTTTTTTGGCAGCCTCTTCGGCGGCTTTCTGGGCAGCCTTTTGGGCGGCTTCTTCCTCGGCCAAGCGAGCTTCTTCGGCAGCTTTAAGAGCGGCTTCTTGGGCCGCCTCTTCGGCAGCCTTTTTCGCGGCTTCTTCGGCCAGAAGAGCCTCTTCGGCAGCGATTTTAGCCGCTTCTTCGGCGGCCTTCTTGGCCTTGGCAGCAGCCTGTTTCTCGGCCTCAGCAGCAAGGCGTTCCCTCTCTTCCTTCAGAGCCCTGTAAGCGTTAAAGAAAAAACAAAGAGTTAAGTTGCTTGATAACCAAATAAAATAACAAGGACTACCAACCTCTCCTCGCGACGCTTGGCCTCATCGGCTTTCTGGGCACGCTTCTTCTCCAAGTCCAGTTCGTCCAAAGCTTCCTCGTTGACCGTCAGCAGACGCTCCTGGCGAAGACGTTGCTTCTCCTTGGCCTCCACATCGAGCGGGTCTTCCAGGGGCCTAGGGGCAGAAAATTTTCTAGATGGACGGTTAGGGTCCAACTCGGCATCTGAAATTTGAAGTTTGTCAGAAAAATCTGGTCCACACTGCGCATGACTTTCTATTTTATCGTTAATCCTTTACTTTGCTGTTCACTCATTTATATCAATTAGGTTTTTCTTGTACAACTAATACTTACTATTCGGATCGGCGAGTGTTGGTTTGCTTTTAGACGAGGCAAGGTAAAATTGCAGATACAGTAGACGCCAATGGTTTAGAGTATTGTGTGGCATTAATGGGAATTTTTAAAAAGTTCTGGGTGTGAAGAATTAAACCAAAATGTGGTTAATGGGTTAAGCATACATACATATATACATCTCAAAATGCAAAAGAGTACATAAAGTAAGCTGAGTTTTGAAGTGTTGAATAGTCTGTATTTGTGTTTATTTAATTGTCATCATTTTTAGGTTTATATCTCTGGCTATCATATATTTACAAAAATATTGTTCAAACTGTGCAGCATAAACACTGCTATATTATAGATTTAATTCAGGATTTATACACTTTATGGTCCATATTAAAAGCCCCGCAGAACAAAACAGTTTAATGCATAAGTTTCGAACCCATAAGAAAAGATTTGTGTTTAGATCAGTATTTACAAATTAATATATTGATACATATTTGTAAGTAAATATCCCTAAAATGTGTTTACATACGCATGAACAAAACATTGGTTAACAAAATTCGCGCTGACTTTCATATCTTAAATGCCAAAAATGATGCACATGAAGTATTTATTAATTTGTAATCAGTGATCATGAAAAAATATAATTTAATAGTCAGCTATTACTTAAGTTACGACAAATCGAAAGAGAATGAATAAGTATCTACATTTTGGTGAGTCACATGAAAAATGTTAGTATCACAAGTGATGCGCTGAATTTATTGGTTTTTTTTTTTTGTATTATTCGATCTTTTAAGCTGGTCTGATCTGACTTGTGTAATAATTAGTCTGAGTAGTGAAAGCGCCAGAGTGCGTCGATATCATTTGTTCATCTTGTAGATATCGGCTAATTGTCTACCACGCAAAAGAAAGTCTTTTAGATTGGTTTATTTAAGAAAGAGAAGTGTATGTCCATACAAAAATCAGGCATGTTATCATTTAGGCCTCAACTTCAACAGCTTCAACTGGAAAGAATCAATCAATCATAAAACGTATAACGTTAGTGAAATACAATGAACTGAACAATTCAGGATGCAGCAACCAAATATGTAAGTTAGTTACAAATGAATAAACTAATTAAAATTCTATAGCACCGGCTTAAAAGCTATCTTTTTACGTTACTAAAAACGATATTTAACGGATAGTTCTAATTCGTATTCGTATTCCATGCGAATTTAACGCGAATTCAGATATGGTATCGTAATATTTTATAATCCAAGCCATAGGTGCTTTATCTTATGCCAATTATATTTTAATAGTAATTGTCTGGCATTTAATGTGGGATGTAAATTATTCTCTGCTTGATTTGATTGTATGAAAGTGTTCTTCAAGTTTATTACGTATATAAACTGGCCAACCATTTCGGGACCACGTTATAAGTGTTTTTTTTTTTGTTTAAAATAGTTCGAAAAATTTCGTCAAAAAAAATATTTAAAAAAAAAAACGCGCACATCCTTTTACTTAATTATGCATCTTTTAATGAATGGTAATCGTTTTGGCGGCAACATCAATTACATTTATGCTTGAGTGATATATACAGGTGTCATATTCAAGCGTAATGTAACACAAAGAACAGTACTTACCTTCCTTCACAGGAACATGGGATTTCTTATCATTCTTCCAAGTCGGGTGTCTAAGGTACCAGGACAAGAGGTTAATATCGTTTCGAACTTTGTCCGAATCGTACAATGGACTTCTAACATTATAGGCCTTGTCACCGCAAATCCTTACTGATGCAAGATGACTTTTACCTTTTGTTATTTAATTATTTAAAAAATGGAATTTAATAACCATTTGCTGTTCAATAAATTATCTAACCACAATTGTGAACGGAATACATAGTGCAGTAGAGTTACACCACTTCAAGAATTCAACTTACCAACATATTTTACTGCTGGCCTGGGGTAGTGCGAAATGTTGTGCACCTCCTTGGCAACGTGACGCACGGGGTTTGTGACACGGGCCACATAGGCATCTAAGGCTAGTTGCGATGTCGGCTCATAAGTGTAACTAGAAATGCAATTTTTTTTTCAACAAATTAGTTTTCAATTTCGGTGAACAAAAGTTTATTCCTAATACGTCAGAAAAAAAAGGACAAGGTCATATTTTGGCAAATCTAAAAATATATTTACAGCGGCACCAAATTTTTTATTTTTCTTTATTTTTTTACACCAAATTTGTGCAGACAACGTGTCGTATGCGTAATTGCAATGCAAGCATTACGTATACAACAAGTGGAACGAATTTAATTATGTTGTATGCCAAGGGCTTGTGAATTATGAAAATCTGCCGCTAGACAAGCGCATAGATATTTATATAAACTTTAGAACTATTTTTGGTTTTAAAGGGTCAATATTAACCAAAAATCTGGCTTAGGGTCTACTCTTGTGCTTATATTTGAAATGATTCCAAAAAAAATAGATACTTGTTATCTCTAAATACCCATTTTAGGGAAGGGAGTATCTACCTGATGATTTATTCAATTACATGGGGGAGGGGGTCTTTAAAACGAACAGAAACTTACCCAGTGACGGGGAAGGGAGTGCAGCTACGTGCACGGCGCACCACAGGAGTGTGCAAGTCACGAACCAGGGATTGCGCGCGGTTGCGAATCCGGGCTGTTTCCTCGGAGAAGGTCTGCAATATGGATGGATTATTAGGGGCGCCCTTCAAAATCCAAATCGATAGAAGCGAGGACACAGAACAGGACTCCAAGTTCTGCATGGCTACGGAAGCTTTAGTAAAGTACAAACGACGAACTTACGGTGAAGGGTTCGGTATTGAGGTAATTGGTTAGGGCCCGAGCACCGTAGCCAGGCGGCAGCCTCTTCAGGTAGGAGGGCACGGCCCGAACCGGGCTGGTCACGATCCTCACCGGCGAGGAGGTGATCCTCAGCGGCGATAGCGAGCTACGGGGGGCATACACCCGGGTGACCGTGGTCGGGTTGTAGACGTAGGACGGCGTGTACGTGGTGTACGATGTCGGGATGTAGGTCGAAGTGTAGGTCGATGGCAAGTAGGTTGTTGTAGGACTGTAGTAGGTCGATGGCGAAGTGTAGGAGTAGGTGGTGCGCTCCGGCGATGAAAT